GTGTGTGTGAGAGTGTGTGTGTGTGTGTGTGTGTGTGTGTGAGAGTGTGTGTGTGTGTGTGTGTGTGTGTGTGTGTGTGTGTGTGTGTGTGTGTGTGTGTGTGTGTGTGTGTGTGTGTGTGTGAGAGTGTGTGTGTGTGTGTGTGTGTGTGTGTGTGTGTGTGTGTGTGTGTGTGTGTGTGTGTGTGTGTGTGTGTGTGTGTGTGTGTGAGAGTGTGTGTGTGTGTGTGTGTGTGTGTGTGTGTGTGTGTGAGTGTGTGTGTGTGTGTGTGTGTGTGTGTGTGTGTGTGTGTGTGTGTGTGTGTGTGTGTGTGTGTGTGTGTGTGTGTGTGTGTGTGTGAGAGTGTGTGTGTGTGTGTGTGTGTGTGAGAGTGTGTGTGTGTGTGTGTGTGTGTGTGTGTGTGTGTGTGTGTGTGTGTGTGTGTGTGTGTGTGTGTGTGTGAGTGTGTGTGTGTGTGTGGAGAAAGAGTGTTGATAAGTTTTGGGCCCTTGATGTTGATATAATTTATCAGCGCATTATTGCACCTGTTTTATCAACCAGGATATTTGGCTTTATTTTGCACGGAAAATTTTTGCTATATAATGTAATCTTTATTTACCAATATCTGCTTCTTGAGTCGAGTCATTTTGTTTAACATTGTCGATCTTTTTTGAGACCAATATTTTATCCTGGCATTTAACCCCATTGCAGCCAGCTCCAGTTTATTACAGTAAAGGAAATCCCACTTTGAAAACATTTTAAAACATTATAAACCCCCTCAAGTGAAACTAGCATCAGCAACAGTGTGTTCCAGTATGATCTGATTTACTTTATAAACCAAGAAGACGTTGTTATTGCTTTAGATTTAGCTACTGAGAACGAAATGTCCATGTAGCACGGGCTATGGTGAGCCCGTAAAGCCAAGACGACGTCTCCAAGAGATTACAGCTAATTTAAAAGAGCGAGTGTGTAGAGCCGAGGTATAGAGCCACCACTTGACCCCCTCTCACTCTCTTTCTCTCTCTCTTCCCTCCGGCAGGATACCTTCCAAAGGAGCGCCTCTTATCCAGGCTCTAGAACGTCGCGACGTTGGCTGGGCACGACTCGTTCTTGGCTCCTTCCAGGTGGGTCCAGATGGTGCCTTTGTTCCAGGCATTTTCTAGATTTGTCAAAGCACTCCTTTTGTTCCAGCTGTAGGTCCACGCATGTCCCTTAATACATCAAAGTCAATTAATGAATCTTGCTCCAGGATATATCCAAACACGTCCTAATCCTAAATCGTGTTCAATATTCCTTGCCTGTCTTCCAGAAAATCCAATTAGGATTTGTTTATCTTACCTTCCGGAAGGTTTTAGTGATCTTGGAGCGTGTGTCCATTTTTATGACTCAAAATCTGTGGCCCAGCGTCCTGCCGCACGCTCAGACCTCAGTGATGTTGACATTCTGAATATTTTATTGTGAGGGAGGATGGTACAGACCTCACACACCACCAACAGACGGTACAGACTTCACACACACCACCAACAGACGGTACAGACCTCTCACACACCACCAACAGACGGTACAGACCACACACACCTCCAACAGACGGTACAGACCACACACACACCTCCAACAGACGGTACAGACCTCACACACACCACCAACAGACGGTACAGACTTCACACACACCACCAACAGACGGTACAGACCTCTCACACACCACCAACAGACGGTACAGACTTCACACACACCACCAACAGACGGTGCAGACCTCTCACACACCACCAACAGACGGTACAGACCACACACACACCACCAACAGACGGTACAGACTTCACACACACCACCAACAGACAGTACAGACCACACACACCTCCAACAGACGGTACAGACCACACACACACCTCCAACAGACGGTACAGACTTCACACACACACCACCAACAGACGGTACAGACCTCTCACACACCTCCAACAGACGGTACAGACCTCACACACCACCAACAGACGGTACAGACCACACACACACACCACCAACAGACGGTACAGACCACACACACCACCAACAGACGGTACAGACTTCACACACACCACCAACAGACGGTACAGACCTCTCACACACCACCAACAGACGGTGCAGACCACACACACACCACCAACAGACGGTACAGACCTCACACACACCACCAACAGACGGTACAGACCACACACACACCACCAACAGACGGTACAGACCACACACACACCTCCAACAGACGGTACAGACCTCACACACCACCAACACACGGTACAGACCACACACACACACCACCAACAGACGGTACAGACCACACACACACCACCAACAGACGGTACAGACCTCTCACACACCACCAACAGACGGTACAGACCTCACACACACCACCAACAGACGGTACAGACCTCTCACACACCACCAACAGACGGTACAGACCTCACACACACCACCAACAGACGGTACAGACCTCACACACACCACCAACAGACGGTACAGACCTCACACACACCACCAACAGACGGTACAGACTTCACACACACCACCAACAGACGGTACAGACTTCACACACACACCACCAACAGACGGTACAGACCTCACACACACACACCTCCAACAGACGGTACAGACTTCACACACACCACCAACAGACGGTGCAGACCACACACACACCACCAACAGACGGTACAGACCTCTCACACACCTCCAACAGACGGTACAGACCTCACACACACCACCAACAGACAGTACAGACCACACACACCTCCAACAGACGGTACAGACCACACACACACACACCTCCAACAGACGGTACAGACTTCACACACACCACCAACAGACGGTGCAGACCACACACACACCACCAACAGACGGTACAGACCTCTCACACACCTCCAACAGACGGTACAGACTTCACACACACCACCAACAGACAGTACAGACCACACACACCTCCAACAGACGGTACAGACCACACACACACCTCCAACAGACGGTACAGACTTCACACACACACCACCAACAGACGGTACAGACTTCACACACACCTCCAACAGACGGTACAGACCACACACACACCTCCAACAGACGGTACAGACCTCTCACACACCACCAACAGACGGTACAGACCACACACACCACCAACAGACGGTACAGACTTCACACACACCACCAACAGACGGTACAGACCTCTCACACACCACCAACAGACGGTGCAGACCACACACACACCACCAACAGACGGTACAGACCTCACACACACCACCAACAGACGGTACAGACCACACACACACCACCAACAGACGGTACAGACCACACACACACCTCCAACAGACGGTACAGACCTCACACACCACCAACAGACGGTACAGACCACACACACACACCACCAACAGACGGTACAGACCACACACACACCACCAACAGACGGTACAGACCTCTCACACACCACCAACAGACGGTACAGACCTCACACACACCACCAACAGACGGTACAGACCTCTCACACACCACCAACAGACGGTACAGACCTCACACACACCACCAACAGACGGTACAGACCTCACACACACCACCAACAGACGGTACAGACTTCACACACACCACCAACAGACGGTACAGACTTCACACACACACCACCAACAGACGGTACAGACCTCACACACACACACCTCCAACAGACGGTACAGACTTCACACACACCACCAACAGACGGTGCAGACCACACACACACCACCAACAGACGGTACAGACCTCTCACACACCTCCAACAGACGGTACAGACCTCACACACCACCAACAGACGGTACAGACCACACACACACCACCAACAGACGGTACAGACCACACACACACCTCCAACAGACGGTACAGACCTCACACACCACCAACAGACGGTACAGACCACACACACACCACCAACAGACGGTACAGACCACACACACACCACCAACAGACGGTACAGACCTCTCATACACCACCAACAGACGGTACAGACCTCACACACACCACCAACAGACGGTACAGACCTCTCACACACCACCAACAGACGGTACAGACCACACACACACCTCCAACAGACGGTACAGACCTCACACACCACCAACAGACGGTACAGACCTCACACACCACCAACAGACGGTGCAGACCACACACACACCACCAACAGACGGTACAGACCTCTCACACACCAACAGACGGTACAGACCTCTCACACACCAACAGACGGTACAGACCACACACACACACCAACAGACGGTACAGACCACACACACACCACCAACAGACGGTACAGACCTCACACACACCACCAACAGACGGTACAGACCTCTCACACACCACCAACAGACGGTACAGACCTCACACACACACCACCAACAGACGGTACAGACCACACACACACCACCAACAGACGGTACAGACCTCACACACCACCAACAGACGGTACAGACCACACACACACCACCAACAGACGGTACAGACCACACACACACCACCAACAGACGGTACAGACCTCACACACCACCAACAGACGGTACAGACCTCACACACCACCAACAGACGGTACAGACCACACACACACACCACCAACAGACGGTACAGACCACACACACACCACCAACAGACGGTACAGACCTCACACACCACCAACAGACGGTACAGACCACACACACACACCACCAACAGACGGTACAGACCTCTCACACACCTCCAACAGACGGTACAGACCTCTCACACACCTCCAACAGACGGTGCAGACCTCTCACACACACCACCAACAGACGGTACAGACCTCTCACACACCTCCAACAGACGGTGCAGACCTCTCACACACACCACCAACAGACGGTACAGACCTCACACACCACCAACAGACGGTACAGACCTCACACACACACACCTCCAACAGACGGTACAGACCACACACACCTCCAACAGACGGTACAGACCACACACACACCTCCAACAGACGGTACAGACCTCTCACACACCTCCAACAGACGGTACAGACCACACACACCACCAACAGACGGTACAGACCACACACACACCACCAACAGACGGTACAGACCTCTCACACACCTCCAACAGACGGTACAGACCTCTCACACACCTCCAACAGACGGTACAGACCTCTCACACACCTCCAACAGACGGTACAGACCTCTCACACACCTCCAACAGACGGTACAGACCACACACACACAGATGGTATAGCCATGCAAATCTTCAAGCTATAAACTATATAGTACAGATGGCGTGGAAACGTTTGTGCTTATACTCTAATCTGACGAACTTCCCGATAGATAATAGACACTAAAACTTCCACAGATGTTAAAATCATCCCGAATTCCCCCCCCCCGTCAACACAGGTGTATATTCATCATGTTCATGTTCATCATATTCATCATACAACAAGCTTCCCTCCCGCTCTCAGGTGGTGATGCTGTGTCTGGCCCTCGTGGAGGCGGCGAATCCGCTTTCTAGACAGCTGGTGTCCCTGGCCACAGATGGCCTCCTGCCGCCCACCCTGGCCCACCAGTGTTCTCGCACCACTGCCCACGCCCACGCCCACCTTTTCGGGGGTACCATGGCTGCCTTTCTTGCTCTGCTCTTCAGCCACGTCCTCCTCCTTCAGGTAAGGGACGCTGAAGGTACGTGACAGGGACCAGTGAGAAGCTTAATTGGTCTGGATGGTGGCCGAGGGAGCCCCTGGTGGAGGCCCTAATTACGTTCTTACCTGAGGGAGAGGACCGAGTGAAAGGTGAATGAGATGTTGGTGGATACCCGAGGGCTGCCTTAAGAAACCTGGGGCCAGATTCACGCAAGTACTTACGAACGTGTACATCTTTCCTCAATCTTTGACGCCTTTGGTTACATTTATTAAACAGTTTACAAGCATGAAAACTTGCCAATCAACTGTTGTTATTGTTATAAACAGCCTCCTGGTGCTTCGGAGCTCATTAACTGTTTAATAATTGTAAACAAAGCCGCCAAAGATTGGGAAAAGATGTACAGGTGCGTAAGTGTTTGCGTAACTGCTTTCGTGAATCTGGCCCCTAAAGAGGCCCGAGCTGAGACCGAAAGACATGTTGCGGGTCCGGGGGAGGACCTTGGTCTAGGAGTAAATGGAAGGGGCGGGCCGGGTCGTGGTTCGCAGTGAGGTAGAACTAGGCAGTAGTGGGCGACAACGAGGGCTGTGAAGGGTGGCGTGCACACTAAGCATAGCGAGAAGATTTCATCATAGAAATCAACTACATTACAAATTCTTGAAGCTCTACAAATAAAAATAGAACAACCCACCGTAAGTTTCAGAAGAATGCCCAATTATCCAATCAGGATAATTGAGCATTCTTATGAAACTTCGACATCCTCTGGCGAGTCCCTTCGCATATCCCTAGACATCATACTCACAACGACGTCTAACTTAGTACCGTTTACGGGCTCACCATAGCCCGTGCTACTTGGAACTTTTTGCTCCAAGTAGCGAATCTTAAACAACAACAACAACTACATTACTAACTAAACTCTGGCTCCGGTGCTGCTGACAAGGGGTTAGGCTTAAGCAAGTTATCAGGAGAACGCGCCAAGCCGGGGAGACTTGTGTAGATGGTTGGGTTTTAAGCAACCCGTTCTCACACTTTCTTATAGTCAATATTGACTTATTAAATAAGTGCATATGTGACATACTAATTTATTGTGAATATTTTAGTTTACCTTGAAAAGCTTCATAGAAAACACCGACCTTACCTAACCTTCTTAGTATGTTAAGATAAGCATCTTATTGCTTCGTAATTACAATTATTACTTAACCTATTATAGTTAAGGAAGTTTAGATTCTAGCAAGATCAACTAGTTCAGTCTGAACTAGCAAGTTGAGCTTATTATGGAGTGACTATGTGGGTGTGTACTGTTAGTGAAGGGAAAGAGGGGGGGGGTATATAATATATGTACACGGTTGGGGCCTCGTAGCCTGGTGGATAGCGCGCAGGACTCGTAATTCTGTGGCGCGGGTTCGATTCCCGCACGAGGCAGAAACAAATGGGCAAAGTTTCTTTCACCCTGAATGCCCCTGTTACCTAGCAGTAAAATAGGTACCTGGGTGTTAGTCAGCTGTCACGGGCTGCTTCCTGGGGGTGGAGGCCTGGTCGATGACCGGGCCGCGGGGACACTAAAAGCCCCGAAATCATCTCAAGATAACCTCAAGATAACTCCCTAGATAATACGACTGCTGCTGCCTGCATAAGCTCTCCTGACCAGAGATATCATCTCCCAGGTGCTGGCCACGTGTGCGCTCTGCCTGCACGTGGTGGTGGTGCTGGCGGTGATGTACCGTCGGCACCGCTGCTCCTACGGGTCCCTGTGCTCCGTGGCCGCCACCGCCTCCTCCAGCGCCCCCTACAGCTACCAGCGTCTTGCTCCGCCACACTCCCGCCAGGAGAGGACCTTCCACTTCCTGAAGGTAAGAACGGCCTCCTGCGTGCTAAGTTGGGAATGATACTGGTATATTACTCTGCTGTTTGGGACGGACGTGGCACTGGTGGGACGGACTTGGCACTGGTGGGACGGACGTGGCACTGGTGGGACGGACGTGGCACTGGTGGGACGGACTTGGCACTGGTGTGACGGACGTGGCACTGGTGGGACGGACTTGGCACTGGTGTGACGGACGTGGTACTGGTGTGACGGACGTGGCACTGGTGTGACGGACGTGGCACTGGTGGGACGGACTTGGCACTGGTGTGACGGACGTGGTACTGGTGGGACGGACGTGGCACTGGTGGGACAGACATGGCACTGTTGGTGTGCAAATTAGCCAGTGCTAGTTATGACTATTATTCTAAGAATTAAGAATACAACCGTTATGCTTATCCCGTGAGAGAATACGTGACTTACTTTGCTCCTCCGCAGGACGGGATGCGAGTCCTGCCTCAGAGAGTCCGGACCCACAAGGACGCCACTCCCGCCTTCACCTCTCCGGACTCTGAGAGTGGCGTGAGTGGACTGGACCCAGAGACCCGTGACACGGCTCCTCTGCTGGACTACTCAGAGGACAGCCTCGCCTCGCCCCTCCGTGACTCCGTGCAGCTGGAGGCAGTAGAGTCCACCAACCAACAGCAGCAGCAGCAGCAGACTTCTGCGTCGGACACGGAATCCGCCGCGTCGGGATATGGCACGGACACTGATGCGGAAGATGACATTGACGCTGCCGTGGCCGAGTATCAGGAGAAGTTGAAGGTGGCAACGTTGGATATGGGCGTGGCCCGTGCCCCTACGGTGGCCACGGCGCGGCGGGCGTGCGTGGCCTTAACTGCCCTTCTGGCCACGGTGATTGTGGCGGCATTCGTGGCCGTGTATGGGTGGAGGGACGGCGGCGACCACCCACTCCTGGTGGTGGTGCTGTCGACCACCATGTTGGCAGCACTGGTGTTGGTGGCACTTCTAACCCGCCTACCCACCCTCCACCCCTCCAACACCACCACCTTCAGGGTACCAGCAGCCCCCTGGCTGCCCTCCGCTGCCCTCCTTCTCAATGTGATCCTGCTGGTGCAGGTCCTCAGGCACTCCTGGGCAGTTATCTCTCTCTACACTACGGCAGGTAAGTACGCCCTCAAACACACACACACACACACACACACACACACACACACACACACACACACACACACACACACACACAGAGTGTCAGAGTAGTTAACAAGTGGACTGCATTAGGCAGCGATATGGTGACGGCAGACTCCATACACAGTTTAAAATGTAGATATGATAGAACCCAGTAGGCTCAGGAATCTGTACATCAGTTGATTGACGGTTGAGAGGCGGGACCAAAGAGCCACAGCTCAACCCCCGCAAGCACAACTAGGCCAGTACACACACACAGCCTGCTTTCCGCTGTACTGAACAGGTATAAGCCGCGTCACGTTATCAGATCAGCTTTTTCTTGAAGCATAATTGTGTGTAAAATTGGGCTCATTCTCCTTAAAGATCAAAAAGTTTAACACAGTGACAGCATTGAACATCAGCATGACCTGTTGGATCATGCACATGGCTGTCCTGAGCTCATACATAAAGGAGTATTAAGTGCTTTAATGACAGCAGGATTGTATTCAAGTTACGTCTTATGATGATCTTGGTTGTAATCTGAGGAACCGACAGATGAAACATGTATAATGAATTTACTACACTGGTTTACATACACTTGCCTGGGGGCTGTACTCTGGCACTTCTAACTTGTGCCCCTCACCTGTCATACTCTGGCTCCCTCGTATATTTCTCTCTCTCCTCCTCCCTGACTTCTTGTCCCTAATCCAATCACTTGGGCTGGACGGTAGAGCGACGGTCTCGCTTCATGCAGGTCGGCGTTCATTCCCCGACCGTCCAAGTGGTTGGACACCATTCCTTTCGAACCCCCGTCCCATCCCAAATCCTTATCCTGGCCCCTTCCAAGTGCTATATAGTTATAATGGCTTGGCGCTTTCCCCCTGATAGTTCGATTCAATTGTCCCTAACCCCTCGTCCCATACCTGTGTATCTAACTCCTGTCTCTTACCTATACTGTCGTCTCCCTGCAGGTCTGGTGTGGTACTTCACCTACGGCGTGCATCACAGCGCCCTGGCCACCCTAGGGGTGGTGACTGCACGCGGCCGCTCCACTGAGATCATCTGCATGGAGCCCCTAGCGCCCCCCGCCCTCACCCCGACCCTGCTGCAGGCGTCGCCCCAGCTCCTCCACCACCCAACGCACCAGCAACACTTCACCAGGCTCACCCAGGTCGACACCGTCCTCATCACTAGGTGAAACCCCTGCCGCAGAGTGATCCAATCCTGTTAAGAGGTTCCGCCTAATTGGGAACTATCGTCCTTGCTTCAGAGTGTGCCGCTTCTGGTCATATTACAGGCCGGAGAGGGACTCGTGGTCCATACGATTTCGTACCTATTTTCTTCAGCTCGTAGGTCGACGTAGTCCTCGATGACGAGAGTATCGAACGTAGACTTCAACTCGAATCTTGTTCCTCGATTGTGGTATACAGAGGAGCTTGGTCCTCCACTCCCTCCCTCGTCCTCCCAATCACGAATGTTTTAATTCGAATTGACAGTAACCTCGTTATAATGTGTCGAGTTTCTTCGGTTGGGGCTTCCTTTGAGGCTGACAAGACACGTAACACGAGCACAGCTCTCAATATAATTGACAGGTAATCACAAAAGGAAAATCACTCGCATCTGTTGTTGTTTTAGATTCAGTCACCGGGAACAAGAGTTCCAAGCAGCACGGGCTACGGTGAGCCCGAAGTGGACGTTCACTCGCACCTAATATGAAATACACACACACACACATATATGTAATATAATGCAAACTTGTTAATATTAAAAGTATTAAGAGTTTAATTTTGGAAATGAATTGTGTGGAATGTTTAACCAAACACTAGTCTGCCTTAGCATTGCTCTCATTAAGTAATGTAAAGCTTCCTCCATGTTAGGTTTTGCTCTGTGATTAAGTTATAAGCTTCCTGTAAGTCCAAAGCTCCGGTTGGTGGGTCTTGTTGATAATAAATAAATTACATTTTCATAAAGGATCAAAATATTTTGGGTGCAAATATAATCATTGCGGCTTCTTACAAATTAATCCAAAATATTGTTAGTTCTGTTATATTGATTGGACTATAAAGAACATGACCCATTCTGTTTTATTCTGGTTAGCATTTCTTGTGGCACTCAGTTGGCATAATGTGGCGTTCGTTCCACATTGAATCGAAGTCAGTGAATTGAGTCATTGAATTAAGTCAATGTTGATAGGTGGATACTGCAGAGATTTAAAATTATTAATGCACCAATGTTGCTGAAACGTCAATACAGTTGAATCACTGCTGCATCAATATGCCAAAATCCTCACATAATGTTTCAACGTCGTATCAACGTTACTTCAACGGAACATTAATATAAATACAACGTGACATTAACATCGATACAACGTTGCATCGACGTTAAAGCACTGTTGATACACTGATAATGTTGACATATCGATGCAAGATTGATTCAACATGATCAAAGTCGCATCAACGTTGCTTCAACGTCGCATCACCGTTGATGCGACATCCCCCCTAAGGTTGAATCGATACTGCAGCGACATACCAACATGAGTGTCGTATCGACGTTGCTTTAACTTCAATGTAAGGTCGCACAAACGTTGAAGCAACGCTGCATCAACGTTGTTCCAACGTTGATCTCACGTTGTGCGTGTCCATTCATTGCCAGTGTTAATCAAATCTCGTATGAACATTTAATCAACGTCATTGTTAATTCACCATTCAATCCGCATTGCTTTTGGATAGTGAGCCGTTGGGACGTGACCTCCTGCTGTAGTAAACCCCCCCCCCCCCCAGGTGAGTGTAATGGTGGTAAGGGCATTAAAACCTACGAGGTCTCGTATGTACTTGTCAGACACAGTTCTCCCCAGCCAGACACGTCGTCAGGTGCGACACACGTTCAGGCTGGGAATGGCTCTTGATAAACGTTGCTCACATCTTCGGGGGGAAAATGAAGTAATACCAAGACAAAATACCTCGCCTGTATCCTCTCAAAAATATATATATATTTACAGTTATATGTACAATATATATGTACATGTCAATTCACTGCCGTCAGTCAGTTTGTCTTGTATGACGCGCCAATAAAGACTTGGGGCCAGATTCACGAAAGCAGTTACGCAAACACTGGCGAACCTGTACATCTTTTCTCAATCTTTGGCGGCTTTGTTTCCAATTATTAAACAGTTAATAAGCTCCGAAGCACCAGGAGGCTGTTTATAACAATAATAACAGTTGAATGGGAAGTTTTCATGCTGTAAACTATTTAATAAATGTAACCAAAGCCGTCAAAGATTGAGGAAAGATGTACACGTTCGTAAGTGCTTTCGTGAATCTGGCCCAAGATCACTATTTCTACACCGTCCAGCGCTGTTGCTCATGTTGTGAATGTCGATGAATCTTCCCATCCAAAGTTGACAAATTCCCCCTCAGGCGACTCTTCTAAAGGCCGAGTTAATGCACTTCGGTCGGTTGTCACTGGGCCGCGAGCTGAGCACTTCGTCTTTGTTGACTGCGAGCCGAGTACTAACTGTACCCAAATTTATCGGTGTGCTTGTCTGTCGGCGACTCTGATTGGCTCTCATTTCTCGCCACCAGTCGCGCATTCTGGGCCAAAACTACACTAACTGTCGTCAGCTCGTTTCCTTCTGTAGCAATTCGACATTATCTTTTAAGTCACAATTTTAATCTTGGCGCGACGAATTAACACGTCCTGATAACTTTCAGTAACAATGCCCACTGGAAAGTGTATTGAGATTCCCTGGCCTGATAACCTCTACACTCTGGCCTGATAACCTCTACACTCTAGCCTGATAACCTCTACACTCTGGCCTGATAACCTCTACACTCTGGCCTGATAACCTCTACACTCTGGCCTGATAACCTCTACACTCTGGCCTGATAACCTCTACACTCTGGCCTGATAACCTCTACACTCTGGCCTAATAACCTCTACACTCTGGCCTGATAACCTCTACACTCTGGCCTGATAACCTCTACACTCTGGCCTGATAACCTCTACACTCTGGCCTGATAACCTCTACACTCTGGCCTGATAACCTCTACACTCTAGCCTGATAACCTCTACACTCTGGCCTGATAACCTCTACACTCTGGCCTGATAACCTTTACACTCTGGCCTGATAACCTCTACACTCTGGCCTGATAACCTCTACACTCTGGCCTGATAACCTCTACACTCTGGCCTGATAACCTCTACACTCTGGCCTGATAACCTTTACACTCTGGCCTGATAACCTCTACACTCTGGCCTGATAACCTCTACACTCTGGCCTGATAACCTCTACACTCTGGCCTGATAACCTCTACACTCTGGCCTGATAACCTCTACACTCTGGCCTGATAATGGATATTAACCGACCGAATGTTACACTTGATTGTCCTAGGAACTTGACGAGTCTCATTCTTCCCAGTTCTGTTTGCAATGGTAAGTATATATTCTGTGAATCTTGTTATAATGTTCTTCTCGTACTGAGTGTTATACCATCAGGTGTTATACTGATGAGTTAGCATGCGGATGGATGAATCTTTGAGGGCAGGCATGTGTGTTTTCCTAGTCAGTTGAGGGTGGCTTCTGCCTTTTCCTATCTGCTGGGGCCAGATTCACGAAGCAGTTACGCAAGTACTTACGAACGTGTACATCTTTCCTCAATCTTTGACGGCTTTGGTTACATTTATTAAACACTTTAGAAGCATGAAAACTTCCCAATCAACTGTTATTATTGTTATAAACAGCCTCCTGGTGCTTCGGAACTCATTAACTGTTTAATAATTGTAAACAAAGCCGTCAAAGATTGAGGAAAGATGTACAGGTTCGTAAGTACTTGCGTAACTGCTTCGTGAATCTGGCCCTCTGGTCTGTAACTAAATGACCCAATTTGTTCAACATCCTGTTAAGAGTCCGTATCAGCCATTTGGGGGTCGCTCTTGATATGCTACTGTGTGTGGACTGATCGAGTGTCCAGTCACAGGCGAACTGCGATATATTTGCTCAGATCAGTTTAACTATTAGTTTAAAAATGGGATGTGCCACTGTGGGTGAGGTACCTCCGTCTTCATGGGTTGAAACCTGAGTTTTCCCTCTACCTCTCTATCCTAGTTATTGGTATTCCATGGCTCTGGGATCCATCTTTTTTTCTCTTTCGTTCTAAGAAAACTTTGTACACTTATTACCTTTGATTCGTGTTGTTTGCAACCAAAACCACGAATCATGCACATCTAGAAGATCTATTCCTACCTTACCTGAAACAGCTACGCTATAGTACTAGTTGGACGTCTCTCTCCTCCTTTCAACCATCCATGTTGCAGTAGCATCTGCTATGTCACCCAATGTGACCATCTATCTACTGACCGTCTCACTCGATGTTTGTAACCACTGCATCGCAAACGAAGCCTCAACATCCAACAGTCGACACCGTCCTAATAACTTGAATAAAACCACATTCGAAGAGAATGTGGATCAATAGTTATTGATATCGGGCTTCAAATGCATTTGCGTGTGTGTGAAGACATCAATGTTATCTTCCGTCCCGGACAGTCTTCTACACCCATCGAAGTCCAATATCAAGAACACACTGCTCGCCTTGCTCCGTCACTTCACGCTGGTCAGGTTCTGATAACAATTATAAAAAAAACATACACCTGAATCCTAGTGTTGATATCATCTCATCAGTTGGGAGCAGAAATCCTCAGAAGTGCCATAGTGAAGTCAAAGATTTTAAGTATGCCATGGGAACTCTTATCTAGGTCCTGGCCCTCTCGTGATAAGTGATCTATCCTCTACCATATTTGTATTGTGTTCAACAGTATAACCTCAAAATCCTGTAGTTCTTGGGAAAGGACGAGTCAAATATTGTCCAGGAACAAACAAGCCCCCCCCCCCTCCCCATGCCAGTACAATGCATTATAAATGTGGCCATGTTGCTTGGCCTTGCATTTACACAATGATCTTCTGCACTATTATATGGTAATCGTGGCCATATTCAATCTATTATCGCAAACCTGCTAGCTCTGAATTAGTCGCAGTAATTACCATTCTACGTTCTCTTCTGTGCTCACATTGAAATAAAACAGTTCATTCTTCACCTTACACAACATTCCATTCTCGAAAAGGGTTACAAATATACTCGTGACGGTGCCCTCGATTGAGACACCTCTGAAGATGGGCAGCAGTTTGCTGTAAAAAGTGGCCCCCCCTCTGGCGCCCTCACCGAATTCACGTGCCTTCCACTATACACTTCCGTGGCACCTGCTCGGCACTTATTCCTAACAGTTCCCCTTACCCCAGGTAAGGTCCAGATCCGTGTCATGGCATCCCCATTGCCAGCAAGAGCCGTTTGATGGATCCATCTTCTGTTTCGTAGTCCTCGTACCCCACACACGGAGCTCCTGGTCATCCTCGTCCCAGATCCTTCCAACGCCCGCCTCCAAGACGTTACTGCCTACCATGAGGCCACAACCCCATATGCCTTGGGCTATCTTCCTGCAGCCGAATTCCTCAACTGCTTTCGTCTTTAATACCAAGCTCGGTCTAACCCCATCACACCTGGCTTGCTCCCAAGCCTCGCAGCATCTCGATTCAGCAGTAGTACCTCTCACCTGAGAACACACTGCCTCTATCCAACCTCTTCTACCAACACCTGAATGTGTGAGAGAGACCCATGTTATATCTTGAACCCTTCGAAGTCATTCCTCCTAGCCTTGCCTATGCTGCCTAAATCTGACTGGTAACACAGTTGACTAATTGTACTGTTTAATTCTCAAAATGCATAATTATTCAATGAAATACACCGCTTTTCTGCACTTTTTTTTCGCCAATACGTCACTCTCTAGACACCAACGAGTTTTTGGCCAATTTCAAGCTTACACCTTTTTAACGTCGCCTCGCCCTTGTAATATGTTAAAATGTCCACTCTTATCTTTGATCATCGAACATTTGTTCCACAATTCATCATATAGTCCAGAACGTGTTAAAATCAATGATAGAAATTAGAGGATAAGATATATTAATTGCACTCCCCCCCCCCCCAAACTTTGTACAACAAACCACATAGTGCTTCAATATACAGAAAATTGTAGCATGGAAAAGTATAGTCTCATCAGCTTGTTACTGTAGCAGCTCTACAAGTAAGTAAGTAATTATCAAAAGAAGGCACCAAACCGGGAAGGCTATGTAGCACCATCAAGTACGCAAAATAATCAGAGGGCGCTAAATATCACCAAGGATGCCAAGCAGCTCTACAAGGACCTGAGGGATGAATAGCATCGCTAGGGAACAGACTGCTTGGCGGGAACCGTTTCTGGTTTGAAAGGCGCGATATACTCCGATCGCCGGACGGAACCATTTGTACATTGCGGTAATAAAATGGAAAAATTGGCTACCCTAAAAGCTAATGTTTAAGCAATTTCGTGGAGCATTTGTCAATTTACTTTATGATAATTTTGGACGATTCTCGTCACTATCAGTTAATTTCTATACTTAAGTTATGACAACATTATGTCGTAAACTCGGGGGCCTGTGTTGCTTAAATTTGGTTTATTACACACATTACTCCTATTAAAATGTGGCAAATAGTTTCATCAATTGTTTGTAATTAAACGGAAGTAGTTCTTGCCGTGCTGACAATTTTATGTTGCCTCTTAATATTTGTAGAATAGGTTGGTAGCAAAAAAAACTTACAATTAAATCTTTTTTCCACCCTTCATGTAATGTCCTGAAGCTGAATGACTACCATAATTTCGAAAGCAAATTAAGACGTGTGGTTTTCGCTGACAATAGGAGATTGTCCCCAACACGAGTCTAGTCGTATTTCCATACATTTGGTGGCTCCTCTTACAGGTGTTCTTTATGTAGTTCTAACTTCCAGTTTAGAGTCTGAAGTTCATCATTCACGGACAGTTTTGGTGGCTTATTTTAACGAGCATTTGGCCAATGTATTAAAACATTGATTGGGCTGATTTTCAGCTCCCTTTGCTGCTGAGGGCTTCGTTTGGCAGTTCCATGAACTTTCACCTAACCTTCCATGTTGAGCGAATATCGGAACGTTTCAGTGGCTAACCTAACCTTACGTTAATTATACTTCACGTGGACGAGTGATAAAACACTGGGCCAATAATACCAGAACGTGGAAAGCAGTTTTATTTATGGTTACCTTCGCTATTTGGCCAACACTGAATTTTGTTTTTTCTGCTGCTACAGCTTGTGCAGATATATTTCAGGACTTCAGAAACCCTTGGCGGATAGCGACTGACGCCACATCACTTTCAACTCACTGTCCAGGCCTCTCAATAGGCCTACGTTGTGTACAAACCATTTCATTGTTACGAAGACTTTAATGAATAAAAAGTTTAAGATTGTACCCTATTGTTTTAGTTATTCTAAATTCAATTACCAGGAAAAAAAAATAAAGTGAATAGAAAGCAGAGCATAGAATATTTTATGGGTTTTATATTTAACATTGGGATCCAGCTCACAATTTTATTATGATTTTCTTCCAAGATCTCTGCATCAAAGGATTTTCCAAAAGGTGTCATACTAGACTAACAGTCTAGTTAAATAAAAGTAAGCAAGTAATTATCAAAAGAAGGCACCAAACCGGGATAGTTAAAAGCAAAGTTAACTGCCATGTAACCTATTAATTATATAAAATTAGCTCATAGCAAACGTAGTTATTAAGAGGGTTAATGTGAAATTATAAATTTTAATTAACCGCTACGTAAGCATTTATCTGTTAGTAAAAAAAACTAAGACTCTGGGTAGAGTTCCGAAGAGCGAGACGAAGGTCGTCTCGCACACCGACTTTTCGTAAGCCATTTTATTTGTATTGCAAATTTAACCATGCATATACGTACACACGTATTGTGAACACTATACTACCTGTGGGCGGTGGGGAAGGACTTTCTTACATTAAATTTCTTTAAACATTTTCAGAGCCATTTGCGTTTGGAGGAACTAGTGAAGTATTATATGTCTCCCCAATATTATATGCTGGACAAGGAAGCCAAGCGGTCAGCCGCTTCTTGAGAAGGGGCTGCAACAACACGGGTACAAGTATGGGAGGGGTTAAAGCTGACAAACGTATCCACAGAATCAACAAGGTGCTTATGGAGAAATCATCAGGACGAGTAGGGTCAACACTACCAAGATCAAAATACTTAGTCCACGTAGCAGGACCAAAGCCTGCGAGGAATCGTGCGAGTACGGAGGTGACGGCGCCGTGCACCCCTGGAAACGGTAAAAGGCGCAGTTGTGACAACGAAAGACTGAGCAACGCCAGGTGAGGTGGTGGTGATCACCACTGGAGCTTCGGGGCTCAACCCTGCCACAAAGGTGGGAGGGGAGCCGAGAGTAGCAGCATGGTCAGGGCCCAATGTAGCGGGGGATACAGAGCCCGGCCTTCCAGTACAGTCCGACTCTTAGGCCTGGTCGCCTACCACGAGTCTGAGAAGTTGTGAGGGTCAGAAAAAGGCATAAAAAAATAATCCACGAATACCCATACCCACCATGGAGCCACAATTAGAGGAGAGGACACCTGACAAGATGGTGCCCCCCCCCCACCAAAGGGGGTGCAACGTGGATCTACACTTTGCAGTCGCCACCTCCAGAGCCGTCAGTACATTGAGATCAGGCTCAGCAACGAAGTCAAAGATTGACAATACAAGCGTCCCCTCGCTCGACAACGTTGGGTACCACAGTTTTATGGGCGAAAGTGTGCCTCCCCAAACACCTGGGCGTCAAAACAAAAGAAGACATTAGAAAGAGTAATCAAGAATGGCAAAAAGTCGGCGGGAAATGACAGTCAGAAATAATAGCTGGGGAGGAAAAATAACTAGAAAGAAAATGTAATCAACACAATTAGTGAAGACGGCAGCAGGAACACAAGGCTACAAAAGGACAGAGGACTGTCCCATGGAGCATCACTCCCCGGCAGCCGCCCACCAAATCCCCTTGACAACGGGCTGGAGAGGGAAGGAGAGATATTGTTCAAGTATCTTAATATTGTTGACGACTCGCTCAAGACCAAGTACTATTTCAAACGGTGAAGTAAAAAAACATCCAGCCTGTATAAACTTTTAATTTAAAACTTAAAAACAATTCAAATATAAAACTAAATTAACTAAATACACTATATACAGATTTGTAGCTTTTATCTTGGTAAAGTATATGTAAAACTGGAAAGAAAATTAAATGCACCGAACCTACAATTAAATTAAGATGTATAAAGAACATGTATGGGTAGAGTATAAGCATTGCCTCAAAAGATAATTATAAAATTTACTATTTACATTTAGTTTCATCAATATAAGCTAAAAATTAAAGTCAAATGAGGAAACGGGAGAGACGAATTTAGCCAATTTAAGGAACTTTCAAATAAAAACTCATTCACACGAACCCGATATAACATTTCCACGTTTTAGCCTAGTGTGACCCATTAGATCATTAGCAATACCTAAATATATTACATATATTAAAGCATTTAAACTAAATCGTGTCATTATCTTTCGCAAGTAGCACACAAACAATTAGGAGGTGAACATCCGCACACTACATTGTTTATGGGACTATAACGTTGCGAATTATACCCTAAAATACAAATATTCAGTTTTTTTGGGGGGACTGTTTACTTTTTGGGTCTTTCTCTGAACACATTATATAGACGACAGTATTATTAACAGTTCTTCTCAGGCTGTAGTTCAAGGGATTGAAGAGATCTCTGTAGTCTCCCCTACTAACATCCAGCGACCTGGCCGCCTTGCTCACCACGTTAATGTCAAGACTGCGAGGGTCCGTACTGCTGGCCTTGTAGTACCCCAGCTGGAGGCAGACCAGGTGAGACAGGTAGGGCTTCCACCTCGAGTACAGGTAAGTGTACCACATCCCCGACAGCCGCACCAACAGGTAACCTCGGGGGCTGCTCTCTGGAACTCTGTGGGGGCAAAGGGGAGGGGAAAAAGAGATGAAATTAAGCAGCGCTTATTTAAGCAAGATCTCGTGCAAGCATAGAAACTTCTATTACTTGTGAATTCGAAGGTTTACGTTCATGTCAAAAGCTGTTGCATAAACTAGATTTCTAGTAACTAATAATTCCTCGACATTCCTCAATATTTTATGCAAATGTCCAACAACTACCATAAACGTGGAGTATCCTATCATTTTTACCTTTCCACTTGGTTTTCACTACGGACGAACCTCTCAGCCAGTTTCTAACCCTTCTGTTACCTACAATTAACTAATCTTTGCCAGTGCCTTCCCCGAGAACCTGCGCTAGTGGCCCTCGAGGTGCATTACTCACCCGAGGACGTTCTCTTGCACGTGGACGGCAGGGGCGAGGGCCACACAGTGCTGCTCGTCCTCGCCCGAGGGACAGTCCCTCACTCCATCACACACCTTCCTCCTCGCCACACACTCTTGCTCCTCAGAACTGCCGGAGAGATGCCCAATTACCAAGAAGTTATGCATCTTTAGACAGCACTGGAGGAGATCTTTGATACAAGGATACGTCAAATTTAACATTTACACTGCTTAGGGCTAGTGCAAGGCACTACGAACTGAACAATATAGGGAGTTCCCCCAGGCTTGAGGAGCAACTTACAAGTGGCACCTGAACCACTGGCTGGAGGGCTGACAGCCGCAGTAAGCCTCGTCACTCTGGTCGCTACAGTCCAGCCGGCCATCACACACCTTCTCCGGAGAGTTCCCAGACAGGTACTGAAACAGATTTCCATATAAAAAATAACTTTCAATAAGCAATGAACCGAAAAATAATTACAACTAGTGGCTGTTGTGTACACATCGTAACGTTATTAAAAGAAAACATTGCCACACGAGCTGGTGGAGCAGGGATTGGTCGGGATCACAGCTGGCAGGCTACACACGAGGGGCCAGATTCACGAAGCAGTTACGCAAGCACTTACGAACCTGTACATCTTTTCTCAATCCTTGGCGGCATTGTTTACAATAATTAAAGTTAATGAGCTCCGAAGCACCAGGAGGCTGTTTATAACAATAACAGTTGATTGGGAAGTTTTCATGCTTGTAAACTGTTTAATAAAAGTAACCAAAGCCGTCAAAGATTGAGGAAAGATGTACACGTTCATAAGTACTTGCATAACTGCTTCGTGAATCTGGCCCGAGGCCCTCAACCGCACACCCAAGGGCAACTACTGGAAAAGGCGGAAAAAAAACGAGAGGAAAGAAATCAGGGGATAGTGAGAGGGAGTCAAGAAAACTGAGGGAACAAGTACTCACGCGGCAACACACACAGTTGGTCTCGTCGACGGCGTCGGGACAGTCTGGGACGCCGTCGCAGATCTTCTTGAGCGGGACACACATCCCGTCCCGGCACGGAGCTCCGCCCTCTGGACACTCTGTACACACACCAGTTACTGATGTAGATACCATAGTGCACCGATTTGTTAACTATTACAAACCCCTCATGTATGTGTAGCCTCATAGGCAAAGTTTGATCTGTATTTTGAGGTATCTTAATTCAAGATATTGCCTTATTAACTAAAGCAAGATCTGAAGCACACGTGTACCAAATCATGTAGTACGCACCTCAACGTTTAATCTTTTTCCAAATAGTTTTTAGAGCGCTGTAAAGTTATGAAATTTAAACTCTTATAGCCTACTGGATACTACGCGTACCCGAATCTATAATATCTACCTCTGGAAGATAGGCTTACCTCCCCCGACCTTTAGCTTACAAGTCCAAAGGTGCACAACACCCTACTTCATCCGCCTTCACTTCCCCCTCAGTTAACAAGGGGGAAATAATGAAATTGCTTCACAGCTGTCCGAGATTCACAAGCTCAAAACGGTCACCGTTTTGGGCAAGATCAGCCACCACATGAATCTTACCACCAGAGATGGGAGGAGGATAGGCAAATATGGGAAAATAACTATCCGCGTTGAAAACAAACTTTAATCGATTTTTATCCCGCGGGTTGGATACCTACCACACATGCCAGTCTTGGAGTTAGGGCGACACACAGTGACGAGGTTGGGACAGTTTGCGGGCTCGTCTCGCTGGTCGGGGCAACTGAGGTCTGCGTCGCAAACCTTCTCCTTGCTCACACACACGGCCGTCGCGCACCTCGTCCCCTCGCACTCCATCAGAGCCTCGGGTGTGTAGCCCTCTGAGAAGGTACGATATAGATCCGATTTCAAATATTCTAGATTTTGAAAACTGAAATGTATGTATGCTGAAATTAAGTACAAAATCACAAAAGAAATTACGGTAGAGCGACTGTCTCCTCATGCAGGTCTGCGTTAAATCCCCGACCGTCCAAGTGGTTGGGCACCAATCTGCTCTGGTTTACTATTATTTCAAAAGAAAAACAAAAGTAAAACCTACTTTACGTTTTAGTTTTAAGTTACTACCTGATCAACCAGGCTGTGACTCATACGTCAGGCTGCGAGCAGCCGCGTCTAACAGCCTGGTTGATCAGTTCAGCAACCAGGAGGCCTGGTCGACGACCGGGCCGCGGGGACACTAAGCCCCGGAAGCACCTCAAGGTAACTTCAAGGTAACCAAGGTACTGATAAACCAATACTTTCTTAGCATTCTAATCTAACTTTAGACAAATCTAACAAGGTATGGCACGTTAAATGAATACTAATACCGCGCCCACATACACCCACACTACTGCTCCTCCTCCAAGCCGAACTCTGGCACCCACCGATGACTGCGTTAACACCAAGGAGGACGTCGACGGTGAAGAGCGGGTGTTGGGCGACGCTGGTGCAGTTCTCCTCTGGGTGTCTGTACGCCCACACGCCCACCCCCACCCACGTCGGGTTGAGTCCTTGGGTGTACTGACAGGCCACGATCCCCGCCCACGACCTCTGTGGGAGTTCAGTTCATTTGTTATGCATCAAATATCCATCCTGTGGGCGGTAGAGGAAATGGTTACAGATTCATGAGACCCCCCCCCCCAAAAAAAAAAATCATTTAGCTAAGCAAGTCTTTATGAACTGGTTATAGGTGTGGTCAGAGCTTAAGGAAAAGTTACCGAACTGGTCATTTGCAACCAAAAACTTCTCTAGTAATTGTATTTTCTCGCGATTTGAACTGCATTATGACATACATGAAACATTTTATAACAGAAATCCACTAGATGCCACATTTTTCTATCCCAGTCCAAACTGGTAGACAACTCCACACATGCTACGCTACTTTATTATAGTTAAGGATGCCACAGCCTAACACAGTTCCACATGTAGGTACCATGCAAGAATGCATTGACAATTAAATCATGGGCAATACCGAGGGCTTCGTATATGGAATTACGCGTAATAAGGCCAAATTGGATGGCATGAAAAACCACTGAATGATGGGCTTCTCGCTACACAAATGCGTCATTGATGACTGAACTAATTGCATCAATCTGCAAGTTTATAGTTAATATCTATCAGTCATCACAAGACTGTAATTATGAGGTCACCGCTTTGGTGATGGGAGAGTATCCTTACTGATATTCTACTGAATGCAAGCGGTTATAACCGTTTAATAAAAATTATGCTGCACCGTCCTATTCAGACGTGTATACTTTGAAAACCTTGGCAGTGCGAGTCATTTGAAGGGAGGACCAGGGGGTGGCTAGATTGTTTGAAAAGTCATGTTTTGAAAGTTCTGTCTGACGCGTCAGAAGCAGAGGTTCAAGAATTATCTTACGCACACTGCCCGCTGCTTCCTCTCAACTGAATGTTCCAATAAATGTCTAGTCTTCCAGTCCTCTGTGGTACAAAGGTCCTGTTACGATCTGGTTGGTCTATATATTATATAAAAAAACAAGCCATTTGGGCGCAACATACAAATGTAGGAACGATATTGTCCGTTGAGGGTCTTGTGTCGGCGCTGCCGGCGCCACGATTATTTGTATAAATGTTAACTATTGGCTATGTTTTAGACTTTGGATGCATCAAGTTATATTTTAGTACATAGCCAGTAAAATGCTGAAGTTATGTGATATTTAAGTTTTATTTGACAAAGTTGTCTGGAAGCACAAGACTGTTACTGTACGTCAGTTTGTTTATGTTAAACTGCCGAGAGGGAGCGACAACGAGTCAATTGGTTCTGTGCACAGAACATATGAACATGTACTGAACGGGATGAGAATAGCTTTAGGTACCTCGTCTGTGTGTATTTATACCTCAATAAACTTATTGAGGTACAGCTGTGCATTTACAATATCAATCAAATCCTGTTCTTTTATTTTTGCTCCAAATAGTTATAAATATTGAAATTTGTGCAAAACGTTAATGTTTAGTCAAACCTATAACCAAATTTACAACTACTCGGTACACATGTACCCTGGAGACGTGTGCCTCACCATGCAGGGATGGTCGGTCGTGCTGCGCAGGACACACAAGTGGTCGTCAGGACAATTTTTATCCAGTTGCAAGAGCACTCCGCTCATGCTGCCCTCTGCCTCGTGGAGCCCGCCCATCGCACACCGCCGGCCACTCTCCACCTGCTCCACGTTCCTAAAACAAAATAAAGTGCTTCAGTAATATAGATTCAATAATACAATATTCAATATTACATAAATAAGATTCACCGACAGTTCAGGGAGGGTTGGCATCCCCCGTCAGTGTTCAGAATACGAGAAAATCAGTACGAGCCATGAGAAGGACTCGAACCCAAGCCATCATAAAAGCAGTTGATTTGTAAAACACATTTATGCACTTGAAAAGAAGCGTTGGAGGTAGAACTGGACAATAGCTAGAGTGTATGGGGGGAGGGGGGGCCAATGTGTGAAACCCTGACTGCTTCAGTGGAAGCCGCAAAACCCCTCTATTATTCATTTTAATCCCAGGTTGCATTGCTTTTACCATGTCGCGGTGTAGTGGTCTAAGGCGTGGGCCTGGGAGTACCAAATGTGAGCATTCGAATCCTCCTCACGGCTCCTACTGATTTTCTCATCGATACATCACGTTAATGTGATTTGATTGTACACTAAAACTAGAGATACGCGAGGTCTTTAGCATTTTATAATTTAGGAATTTATTCCGTTTTAATTATCTACTTTTTAGGTGGTATTTAAGGCGGGGGTTAGAGCTATACAGATTGACAAAAATAATTGTAAATATTTCCAATAAAAGATTTACCACTTTGTCAGTACTTTCTTCTGAATTTAATTGGTAAACAGACCTTTATTGACATTTGTCCGGGTAAATTTCCCCACTGAAGTGTGTACTCTCGCTACTCACTTGGTCGGGAGACACAGGTGGGCGATGTAGGGAGTCTTGGGCATTCTGTCTTCAAGTCGCAACAAGAGGATGTCAGTGTTGGCCACCGCCTTCATGTACGTCACCCGACGGTCGTGTTCGTGGGCGCCCCAGAGCCGTGTGGGCGACCCGACCAGACGCCGTGACCCCATCACCATCGACACCATCGACCGCTGCAAGCTGACAGTGAAGGCGATAGCATAAGCGCAACTGGGCGTCTAGCGTGGTCGTGGGAGAACACGGCATAACCAAACTATTAGTTTCACTATAATCGTTAGCACTCAAGTTCCTCAAGAGCACAAAATACCGCCGTCGGCAGCATACGAGTATTGTGTTACGTCTCACCTGACTCCCTTCATGCAGGTGTCGGAGGTGACGACCCAGTGAGGTCTGATGAGCGTGGCACCGCACCTGTGGCTGCCGTCGACGTACACAGTACCAGCCCAGGGGAGGCCACCAGCCATCCCCACGGGGGTATCCTTGCTGAAGTAGTACAGAGGAGCCTTCCCGCATGACTCCCTCTCGCAGCTCACCACCGCCTGAGGAGATTGAACAGTTTATGGTGCATTAATAATTTGCCTTTTATGTTAAAGATCGGTTATTAATTACCCGAAATTTTTACCGACGCCCGAGGCAGGAAATTAACACATCCGTTTGCCACGACTCCCTTCCAGACGGAATTTCTCTTATTTTGTAAACGTCACGACACCTCGCTTGCATATTTCCTCAAGTGACGCAGTCTAACAGTGCAATCCGAGTCATTATCTCCACTATCGAAGAAAAGACGTCTGTTAGGCTATCTACGACCCCTTCCATCCAGCACAATAATTAATGATGTCACGAACGCCGTCCAAGGTTTACGCCTATGTAAACAAATCTACTCTGACTCGCCTGTTCCCTTATTTAATTAATTTAGCTTACTATCCTTTTAATGCTACGCCAAATTAATGACACTATGTTAAAGACACATCCAACACTATGTAGCATACATAAATCTGTATCTATGTATTTACATATGTAGCTTAGCCTAGCATTTTTAAAATCACTACAATCACCTTGTGGTTGATTGGTCAAATCCCTGAACTGAATGTTTGACAAATCTCTCACCCTGTCCATGGAGGACAGAAGAAAATGTATATGCGCTGATTAGCATTGTAAATGTGTGGCCACGTCTGTGGTAGAAACAAAAAAAGCTACGCCAAGTGCGACTTAAGGGGCACATGAAGGCAGGTCGTGTGGCAGCAGGTGGCACCAGCGCCTAAAGAATGGAGAGAAAATTCGGTGACCTGGTCTACCTGTTCGTTCTCGACCCAAGGGAAGGTCTGTGCTCAAGGTAGCGTCAAGTTACGTGTTACCACTTTGAGAGTGAGGAAGTTTATCTGCAGTTAACGGCGTATTAGTTGCTTATTTAATATACAACTTCTGTACCTACAAATAAACCATTGTGTTAATTTTTATTCATAAAATATACATTACGTTTATTGTACAAAAAAGTTGGGGTGGTAGAAAATATTTGTGTTCAGTGAGATTCCACAAGGTCTCAATGCTTTTATTCTCTTCCCCGAGAGGCTGTAAGTCCCTACAATTGCACCAGTGGTGGTATCCCTATATATTAGGTTTTATTTTATATTCTCTTACCACCTGTTCCTTTCTGACCCCGCCTACAAATATTCAGACGATTTGAAGTTAACATTTAACAAGGAAATGCCTCCTGGTAAGTCTAACATTAAGCCAATTTGTTGCACTTCTCAGGCCAGGAGTAATGGACGGAGGAAATCTGTTAACCAATTACCATTTCTACAAAAATATTTCCCCAGGTTAAGCTAGTCTTAAACGTCATGAAAGCCGCTTCTGCTGCAGAATAGTCTGACCACCGAGGCTACAGTAACTATCCAATTATCACAAAATTAGTCTAAATTGTAAAAAAATAGCCTAATCTAGATCCGCCACCCACTTGTTCCTTACCTGGGTACAGATTGCGCGCCTAGTTCTTCCTCTCTGGGACACATGTCCTAACTCCTGTAGAAACTTCAGACTCGGGACGTAGTCTTCTGGGATCCAGGTGTCGTTGTGTACCAGCCTCTCGACGCTGCTCGTGCCGCGCCGTCCCTCGACGGACCGTCTGTGTTTCACCTTTCCTTCAGAACGCTGGGAGAAGTTAGTGACGTTTCTGTGGGGGTGCTTGACGGAGAGAAGCTCGCGGGGCCTTAGTTGTCTGATGTTGCTCTCCGCCTGAATGTAACTCACGTTGGCCAGTTTACTGGAAAACATGAAATATAAACGAGGCTACGGACACACGGTGCAACAATTAAATTTGGAAATGTGTGTAGAGGGTTCAAAATATAAAGCTTAAATTAGGATTTTGATTCTGCAACAAACTTTACAATTCCACACTACACTGTTAGTTATTTTTTTTTGCATGCCCAAAAATTCATATATTCCGAGATTTTTTAGAGCACGAATGATGCCAGGACTAGCAAAGCCTTAGCCCACGTATATCTGTTGCCCAAGGCATTTCGCCTTAAATTTAAAAGACTTTATATTCAATTGCGAAATTATTATAGCACGCTTGGTAAACTCTTACCCGAGGTCTTGCTCAAAATAATTAAGAATTAATTCAGTGTGGATTTTGCCTCTGGCCTACGAGAATATATTACTACCAAAATATATTGTTTGAGGAGGGATATATATATAATTTGTTCTATTCTATGGGGAGTTTGTAGAACATACAAAGCATAACTGCAAAATAGTTATCAATGAAAATAAAAGCTCTTCCATACTCCTACGATGCAAGAATCACAGCCATGGTTCAGGCAGTATCTGAAACTCATGATAATCTTCAAAACCTATAATCTTAAATTTTAAATCTATAGAAAATGTGATACCGCTTCAAAATCTAGCTCTAAAAAAGTATGTCTACTATAAATTTCAATATAGTAAGGCCTACGTCAGTAGGTGGCGCGAACGCCTACAGATATGCTCACACAGTAAACAATATAGCCTAATTTTTAAATTCACTTCCCACCGCGAGTAATTTGCCTCAACTCTTTCTAGGGACTTTTGCTGCATTATCACATTTATGGGTTAGGTTGATTACAGCAGTGGGAGGCAAATAGGTAAATCTATAAATTCATCTGTGTGGATACGTGTCATCAGTTAGGGTTTGACAATTATGGAAACAAAATTTTAAACTCTTTCTCGTCGGTAAACCAAATCGGGTGATTAGCGACAAACCATCTCAGGCTCTAAATTATGCCGAACTTTCCTCTCGTCCCGAGAACCTAAGTTTTATCCCTCACATTCGGAGTACATGGTGCCTTTAACCGTATATGAGGCTAGCACAGCTTTGCCACCATGTCTTATAATAGTTCACATTTAATTATCGTTTCATTTATAAAAAAGGCATGATGAAAAGGTGAATTCAATATGGTATACAATATTCTTTGAGTGGACCCACTCTGGCTGCCGATATGAAGTACTGTTCAAGAATTACAGGAGGCCTTGGTTGAACTTTCCTTTGCCTGTAGCACAGAGGTGTATTGGCAAATTATGAACCAAATTGCACGATATTTTATAAAAAATAACCATTATCAGTTTATGGTCAAGTTGTAGAATAAACCTTGAGTTTCCATTACTAATGTGCCTAGAATAACTAGGCAGAAACTTAATAGCCTGAACCTTTATATTTCTCTAGTGACTTAAATTGTTTCTCTAGTGACCTCGATTGTTTCGGGCGCGGGTTGGACAGGCGTGTTAGTGGGATTGGGTGGTTATAGATAGGAGCTGCCTCGTATGGGCCAATAGGCCTTCTGCAGTTACCCTTGTTCTTATGTTCTTAAATATTTAATTGCGTTACATAAGAACATAAGAACATAAGAACAAAGGTAACTGCAGAAGGCCTATTGGCCCATACGAGGCAGCTCCTATTCTATAACCACCCAATCCCACTCATATACTTGTCCAACCCGTGCTTGAAACAATCGAGGGACCCCACCTCCACAATGTTACGCGGCAATTGGTTCCACAAATCAACAACCCTGTTACTGAACCAGTATTTACCCAAGTCTTTCCTAAATCTAAACTTATCCAATTTATACCCATTGTTTCGTGTTCTGTAATTACAGCGCAATTATATGAAATTAAACTTACAAATTCATAATTTCTTTATCAATTTTTTTTATCGAAGCAGAATTCAAATTTACACGAAAGAGTCGTTGACAGAAACTAACTTTCTAGCAAGTTATAAAATTTTCGAGACGATATAGGTTAGCACTGGTTTGGTTTTAGTTGGATAATATGTCACCCCTAACTCTTCGCCTTTCCAGTGAATGCAACTTAAGCTTTGTTAATCTTTCTTCATATGAAAGATTTCTAATTTGGGGAATTAACTTAGTCATCCTACGCTGGACACGTTCAAGTGAATTTATATCCATTCTATAGTACGGCGACCAAAACTGGACTGCATAATCTAAATGGGGCCTAACCAGAGCAAGATATAGCTGAAGAACCACACCAGGTGTCTTGTTACTAACGCTTCGATTAATAAATCCCAATGTCCTATTCGCCTTATTACGAACATTCATGCATTGATCCTTTTGTTTTAAATTCTTACTAATCATAACTCCCAGATCCCTTTCGCAATCTCAACACCATCTAGCTCGTATCTTTTAACTATCATCATTACCTAGCCTCAAAACTTTACATTTATTAGCATTAAACTGCATCTGCCAGTCTTTTGACCATTTTAAAACCCTATTTAGATCAACTTTAAGTGATAGCGAGTCGTCTTGCGTGTTAATTTCCCTACCGATTTTTGTATCTGCAAATTTGCAGATTTTGCTACTCAATTTTTTAGATCAAAAGTTTTATATATAAAAAACCTGTATTAATTATTACTACTAGATGGTACGTGCAGTATGCACGGAAAATAAACCCTTCATGCAGACAGCACGTATCATCATGAATAGTTTTTTTATACAACCTTTTATCTAAATTAACAATTTAGATAAATCCACTAGATTACATTTATGACAAGATTTCTTTATCCGATCTACAACAATATACGCAAACTGCAGGAGGTATCTCACTTGTAGCCGAGGTAGGAGCAGGCGCTTATGCCCATATCTTCCGTCAGGTGGTCGATGCACACGGCAGACCAGGAGGCTCCCGACCGTAACACCAGCGTGCCCTGGGACCTCTCCACCAGACGGCCGAACTTGTCAGTCTCCAGCGAGCCAGCCACCTCGACCAACCCGACTAAGGTTGCAGCAGGATGGGGGAGAGAGGCGATAGTCAGTTCTGGTGCCCGAGCACCACTAGCATCTAAATATTGGCGACAAAGTTAGCATGTTTTCAACATCTTTACTAGAAAAAGGCCACTTACTGCAGTCCAGTTCATCCTCGCCGTACACGCAGTCAGTTATGATGTTGCATACCTTCTCGTAGGGGACGCATGCTCTGCTCCTCGCACAAAGGAAATCATTCCCACACGGGTCTGAGAAGGAGACAACAAAGTCGGCAGGCAGCTGTCTCCAATATAGAGGTTACCAAGGAACAGTAAGGGATGGGGGGACCGAATACACATGCTAAACTGCGTGGTGTATCTCGAATAAGAGTATTCGAATCATTAATCAGTTTACATTTTAACAACCTAATAAAATTAGTTAATAGCTCTATGCAATCACCCCATTCAGCCTCTCATCCGACACAATTTTTATTATTATTCATTTGAGGGCCACTCGAGGGCTGCCTCAACCGGGACAGCAACCCTTTGTTTGTAAACTTTTCACGCTCTAATCTATCTCTCCCTCACCGTCCCCCTCCCCACCAATTCGACCCCAGTCTGTCCAAGACTAAACTACTCGATCTACAGCTCGTCACAAGCCGCCTTACTGCAGGTCTCGTCGCTCAGGTCGAAGCAGTCGAAGTGGCCGTCACAGTCGAGGTCTTCACGGAACTTCAGCAGTCTGTCGAGGCAGGTGCAGCCGATCTCGTCAGTGCCGTCCTTGCAGTGCCGCACCCCATCGCACACGGCCTCCCAAGCCAGGCACTGAGGCACTCTGTGGGGCCGAGTACAATTTTAGATGCAAGCAACACAAGCCCGTTACGGCTACAGGCTGTCTAGGCAAGAATGGGGTGTGTGTGTGTGTGTGTGTGTGTGTGTGTGTGTGTGTGTGTGTGTGTGTGTGTGTGTGTGTGTGTGTGTGAAAGTGTGAGAAAAGAGGGAGAGGGGGGAGGGAGGGGGGGGGGGAAGAGAAACAATGGACAAAATATATAATAGAAGGCAAGAGCTTTCACGCGGGAGGACGCTACTCAATATTTAAAGTTTGTTTACTTTTAACCAGTTTATAAAAAAAATTGAACCTCATTTTCTTAAAAAAAAATATTTACCCCATAAAAGTTTTAGCATTCAAATTCAATAGATAAATACGAATTCCAAATATTGCACTTGGAGTAAGTTCAATACGTTCCCACCCAGCAACCAGTCCTCAGGCCAGGCTCGTTAATGCAGCGGCAGTCCAAGACGCATTCATTAATTTTAACGTTGTATTAAAAATAGGCTTTTCATATATAAATTAACAATATTATTCATTAAAGTTCTATGTATAGTTAGGCCGATTCGTCGATTAGGTGTTTAGGCTCTATTTGCGATTATTTGTATTGGAAGTAAGTGGGTGAAGCATTTACAAAGTTGAGATTAGAGCAGAGGTTATAGAAGCGCAGGTTGAGAAGTGTTCTAGCGTCATCAGTTGAAGTCTGGTGTAAACCGCTTTTAATTCATAAAACGAGTTTGGCTTAACGAGCCAAACTCGTTAATGGATTATTATGGAAATGGAAATCCAACTCATTTGGATTAACGAGCATTTGGCCTTTGTTGATGAGGACAGACAGCGCCCAGACACTCCTAGAATTCAACTTACACCGAGCAAACAAATTCTGTCCTCGAGCAGTTTATATCCCTGGTGATGGAGGCTGAAGACATGTCGGGGTACTTGCACAGGTGGCCACCCAAGCTGCCATTTACCAACCCTGACGAGGTGGAAAAGGCGGCAGTCGTCGCCGTCGAAGGTAGCTGCTGCGAGGTGCTAATCTTGTTACCAGCAGGCCGAGTCGTCGTAAGGTTTGTAAACAATTTGTGTTCTTGTGAAGTGTTTACCTTTAGAGCACTTTGTGTTCCCGACTCTCGTTGGTCAATAGAAGGTAACAGTGTCGAGGCATTAGAAAATGAATGCTGAACCGCTTTTGTAGCCTCTGCAGAGGAACTGGCGGTAGTTTCCATAGACAAACTGGCAGTTTCCGTACCATCCGTAGACAAACTGGCAGTTTCCGTACCATCCGTAGACAAACTGGTAGTAGTGTCCGTACCGTCAGTAGAGAAAGTGGCAGTAGTGTCCGTGGACAAACTGGTTGTAGTGTCCGTACCGTCCGTGTAGACGACACTAGGTATTTTAGCACCTATGGACACTACGTGCATTTTGTTTGTACCATGAGAGATCCCGATCGTGTTACTCCCCAGAGTGTGGGCGGTGGACGAGGTGGAGTGGACTTGGTAATACTGGGGACAGTTCATCTCGTCTTCTCCGTCAAGACATTCCTCCTGTGGAGTATCCAAAGCCAGAATCGGTCACAATACACAATAAGCTCTACCATTTAAATTCCCCAAGACCATCCCGTTTGTATACTTACATTAGGTGTGAGGGCACTTGTCCGGGGAAAAATCTATTGAGCAGCATATGGAAAGGTGGTGTGGGAGATTGAATCATCCACTCCTTAAGCCATTCAATCTCCGGCTCTCACTTAGCCTAGGTTACCTGCAAAGTCTAAGCTTACCTATAAAGTTACTAAGGTTATTAGTAAGCTTTCTCCCAAGTCTATTTTCACTTTTAATCTGAGTAATCCCCATAACTATGACAACCAGACCATCTCTGGTGCACCTCATTCTCATTGCAGACAGTTTTAGACTTTGCCTCTTCAGCAGGTTCTAACACTAACAGGTTCTCAAGATGCCTTTGACAAATTAAATAGCCATTTCTATTAGTTAGCCTAATCTCCATTTTCTTTCTCCACTTATTATCAGTAGCCTCAACATTTAATTAACGCATTCTTTATATTATATAAATAACTGTTAGATCAGCATTTGTTTACATCAAGCACTGGAAAGTTTCCCCAGAGAGGCTCAGACATGCTCACCTTACCGTTGCAGATGGCAGCAAGAGGGGCGCACGACCCGTAACTCAGCTTACACCTGATGCCTTTACAGGGCAGAGGGCCAACCAAGAAAGGCGACTCCATCGTTCCTGAAGAGGGAGTCCAATACCATGAGTAAATTAGCCCTTCAGTCCTGAAGACAATTATGAAGAATAAGGACACTTACAACTAATGTTCATGTGTCTACAAGCATATACACCAAAAGCAGTTGTCGGTGTATATAGACTTCACTTTCTTCTTTGACTACCTAAAGTTCTAAAGTATGCTTTGTACTTGGCCCTAGTTTATTTTCTAGTAAGGATATTGTTACGGCCTTAATCCTCCCCCCCTCCCCCCTCCCCGGAGCAGTTCATGGGCTATAATGCCAATACACTTTTTTGGGGGCTTAATTTACCTTCTAATTGCCGACATTTCTACAAGATGCAATAATTACTGATAATGGGATGGAGTAGTATTGTAATTTAGATACTACAGAGCATAAGCCAGTAAATCCTAATGTTCGAGCACTGAGAGCATATGCATTGCTTACATAGGCTTATAGCAAGTAACATCACGAGGTAGGCAAGCATTTCCTACCCACATAAAAGTAACTTTAGTGATGCCTCCAGCGCGAGGACAGCATACAAGTTTAACATTTGTCAATAACGATCTCCCGTGTAATATATAGTACAGTAGGCTTCTCGACTCGCAGTCGGGGATCCCGGCTTAAGATTCCCAGGCAGGACAGAAAATATTGGGTACCGTTCCCTTTACCCAACATGTCTGCTCGCATAGCAATAAATAGGTACCAGAGTTTTAAGCGAGGCACATCTCCTGTGCCAGGTAAGTACAACGGGCTTACCATAGATCATGCTGCTTGGAACTTTTGTTCCGAATAGCTAACTCTGAAACAAGCGAGTTTAACAATTTTTGTAGAGTTGCATTATATGGTATAATGTTTGGTCTCTGAAGGGACCTTTTACACAATCCTGAAGTATATTTGTACACAGGCTTCCTGCCCGACAAATAAAAATGAAGGCTTCTGAATACTCTCCAGATAATTATCGTAGTCTCTTAATTTAACGATAAGATTTAAAGAGCTAATTTTACGATTTTAACATTTTGGTCTTCATTAATTACCTTCACCACCTACTTTTAACAAACTGCCACACACACATCTCCTTTATGAGCTATCAAAAGTATAACCCAGAATTTCTAGTTAAATTTACAGACCCCCTCCCAAAAAAATATAATTAAGCTGCACACTGATCCCCCCCCCCAAAAAAAAAACACGCCAGGAACCGAATGAAATTCTCGACATCCAGAAAAAATGTAAACTGGTCATATATATACCGATACATACCCATCTTCTTCTGTATCCAGGGAAGGTAGTGAGAGACCCTGGTGTAGACTCCCGGGCTGTCGCGCCGGGCGCACCCCATCCCGAAGGACACGACGCCCGCCTGCCTCCACCCACCGGGCCTTCACAGGTGGGAGAGGTCGAGACGTGTAGCAATGAGGACGGTAATGAGAACATTTAATAAAAAAAATAAAGATTACAAGGAAACTAGACATCCGGTCCGTAGTGAGGTACAAGAAACTTCAGCATTTGGCTTAAAAGAGACCACCACCAGCTGCACTACAACTACCAGAAAATTTAAAAAACACAAGAGGAATAATTGCACGATTCAAAGTCTGATCTTCGAGTAATTTAAAACTTCTGCGAGATTGACGGCAAGAACCTCATATTAACAATTATAAATGACATGATCGCTGAACAGACTAAAAGGGTTCGGATTTCCTTTGAATGGATACCATCACACAAATATAACCAATCACAGTGTCAGACATTGCAGCCAAAATTAGCTTGTAATAAAGACGAAACTGAGTTAGATATCCCCATCTCTTGTGTCAATACTATATTGTTCCAAACGCTCAGGTCCGTTTGGAGAGAAATTACAGACTCCTAACGACCTGAAAGCTCTAGTACAAAAAGCTATGATTTGTTCAGATCCGAAACCTATGTTTACGGGCAGCACAAAACGTTCACCAGATGAAGCGGGCCGTGAAGGGTGCCAGAGTGCACAAAGAAATAAGTAATTATCAAAAGAAGGCACCAAACCGGGAAGGCTATGTAGCACCATCAAATGCGCGAAATAATCAGAAGGCCCTAAATATCACCAAGGGCGCAAAGAAATAATTTTCACCTTTTACAAAAGAGTGGTCCACCGGAGTCTCCCTGGCAAGCGTCCCTCTTGCCCTCCTTGTAGCCAGCGCAGATCACCTCCTGGTCGTTAATGGCGGTGAAGTGTTTCCTGCAGGTCTTCATGATGGGCACCGACACTTGCTGCAGGTGGTCGGCTGCAGGACACGGGCGGAGAGAACAAGTCTATAAGGTACACGCATCAGGAAAGAAGAGGTACTGGTGTGAGAATACGAGGGCGGGGGGGGGGGAGGATAATTCAGTAGATGGTAGTTTAAGGGTGAATGAAGAAACAAAGGGAAGAATTGGAATGATTTTTGATTCTGACGTCTAAGTCTATTTGCAAATATTAACAGGACAGTGGAGGGTTGTCAAGAGACTTACGCATCACACACAGAGATCACACTAACGTGATGCATCAAATGAACAAATCCACAAGAGCCTCGTCACGGCCCTTGTGGATTTGACTTACGCATGTCTGTGCCGTTCTCCGTCAAGAAGCCCCACCCCGCCACGTAGCACAGGTCTCCGGGACGCAGATCTGACCGTGTCTCCAGGCACACGGGCCGCACCCACCTGGCCAGGTAGACGCACAAGAATAAGTAACATGTCAAGGAAAATGTGTCCATCTTAAGGAAAGGGGAGGGGGGGTGGGGATTCAAGGGAATATTATCTAACGCTTTAAACATTAATCGCCCTTACTACTTTAAGGTACCTTGGCAATCTTTCAGTGATAAGAACCTTCAGAACGTAATTATTAAAGTATCCTGCAGATCTTTGAGTAACTGAAGACTTACACATTTATCCGAGTCGTGCAGGTCGGCGCTCAAACCCTGACCAGTTGGACACCATTCCTTTCCACTGAACTACCCCATTAATTCTTATATCTCTTCGAAGTGCTACATAGTTGTAATTGCTTAATGCTTTCTCCTGAAACCTTACCTTCAACCCATCTTTACCCCCCCACCACACTTTCCCTTCGACCCATCTGAACTGCTCGCGTTACCTGTTGAGCTGAAGGGGAGTCTTCAGTTTGATGAGGGCCAAGTCGTTTGTGATGTGTTTAGAGTCGTATTGATCGTGAAGGAAGACGTGTGATATAATCGACGTCTGCTCGAACGGAGAGAAGGAATTTGTACGCAACATACCAACGTGAATGTCCGTCAACGATTTCAGTGACCTGTAACAATGTTCAAATTGTTATATCGTGACAATGTCTGTTGCAATTTGTTAGGTACACAAGGCTAATTTGCCGTTATAATGAGGAGCCGCCTTGCAGTCAAACCAAACTCTTACATGTATTCTCCGCTGCGTACACTCCTGGGAGTTCATGTCTATTGTGCTTTATCTGTTCCATAAACAGATGACCTAAATTTCCATGCTAGTATTTATCCAGATCTTTAATCTTGTTAAATCTGTATCTTTAGCATCATTTCCCATCGTCATTCTAAATTTTAAATTTTCTTTACACTGTATATTTCAATTATGTTATGCCTTACTCTATCCTTTTCCTAGAAGGCAACTTTAGTTTTTTAATATCCCTTCCTAGGAAAGGTTCCAGAGATCGACTATCAGCGTTTATGCGTGCAAGTGAATGTGTGCGCGTTCTAAAGTATGGTGACCAAACTTGTTCTGCATAATCTAAATGGGGCCTAACAGAGCTAGTAATTATCAAAAGGCATCTAGTTGGGAAGACTATTTAGCACCTTCTGTATCGTAGGATATTCAACAGATGCCAAGTATCACTAAATGCCAATACGAGAACAGAACGACACATGGCGAGTTACCTCAGCAATGTCATCTTAAGTGTTACAGAATAGTTATACTTCAGGGCAGTATAACTATAAAATTTGACTGATGCTCGACAAAGAACACCAAAATCTTCCCCCCTATTATCCTTAGAGACCACGAGGAGGTGCAAACTCGCAGAGTTTAAATTTACAACACCGCCCGTTCCTTCGCTACCATGCCACGGTACCCACCCCAAGCAGCAGTGCGCGGCAGTAAGTATCCAATCTGCCGAGATGATGGTCCCACCACAGCCGTGGCGTCCCTTCCTCACCAGGCTCACCAGGAAAGTCCACACGTCCGCAGCAGAATCTTCTCCGCCCACGATCCTCACCCGACCGTCGTCTCTCAAGCCCTGAGCGAGCTTTCTATTCCAGCTTTTCTCCAGGCTCTTCCCTAGCAACATGGACAGAAGAATTTATGCCCGAAACGCTTTGCGTAATAGTGGCTTTGGGCATTGTATGTACTAGCTCTACCTATAAGTCAACCAATCTTTGTAAAAATTTATTGTATGTATGTACCTTACCTAAATAAACATTTTATTTTTTATTTTGTTTTTAATTTGTCTAGTGGATGAAGCAGTCATTGAATAATTTGATTTTAATTATTGTACCCTTATTAGGCAAAACACTTTACAACTATAAGGGGACTTGGTTGTAAACATACAAAAGTGTCCAGGAACTAAATGAACGTGTCTCGCCACCCTCTCTCATCCTTAAGAAGATCTGTAGAACTCAGCAGGTGTTAATGAGCATTAAAGCCAGAACTGCCCAGTTTAAGATACGGACAGCATTTTAAACTGGGCAGTGTGCTTGCCGACAGTGAAAACTTGAGAATAAAATCGTGTGTTGCAAGATTTTCCTTGAAGCTAGAGTCAAGATGTCGGCAGCTTAAGTAGTCGGCGATTAGTGTAAGAGAACCTTATTGCCTTCAGTACTGTTATCAACCAACAATAATAAAGGTAGTATTAAAAGAACCCCCCCCCCCCATTGTGTTATTCAAAAATCAACCACAGCCCTCACCCTCCATTCCAACTAGACAATTTATATCCATCTATTTCCATTCATCCCATGACTATCCTGTCTCCACATTCCCCCGTCGACGTCGTCTCACCTGCCTCCCGGCGCCCCCTGCTGGGGAAGCTGCTCACACACTGAGGGTCGCTGCAGGAGACGTACACCCCGAGCTTGGAGGGGCAGCCCTTGGACAGGTAGATCTCTCCCGTCGTCTCGTTCAGGCGGGTCCAAGCAATCTCTTCAGGTATCACTGTGGGGCTGAGAGCCGTCAATCTGTACGTGTCCTCGCCGACTCTAGAGGGAGAAACGGTCTTTACCAAATGGAGCTGCAAGCATCTTTGCTATCTAAAAGGAGAGTTTTCCTTCCCTCGGGATGTTAGATGGAAGACAGCTAGCCTCAATTCATGGGCTAGCTGAATTGATTATGATTCAGTTGATAACGATTAACTTAACTATCATCAACGGAACCTTTTTTTATACAAGTCTACGGTATAATTTTATTTTCTATTTTAAGATGCCAAAGAAAATGTGAATGAGTAACTAAAGTAAGTAATGTAACAAATATTCTGTTATCCTCATAGTTCCCGAGGATATTATTCCTGTTAAGCTTTTTGACGTCTAAAGTATAAAGGCTGTTCTCGCCGTCACCCATTCGAGTTATTGGCCAGATACAACGGTGCATAACCTGACAGTGCCGAGTCCGAGCTGTACACGAGGTGTAAGTAGTACAAGACTTGCCTCGCTCTTTCCCAATAGTCGGAGGCCAGGAAGCTTAGTTAGGCTTGCAGGCCAACGACTGACTTGCTCCAATATGCAACTTTCAAAACAGCTGCCTATCACCTAGTTAGCCGTTTACTACTAGGTAAACAGAGGTATCGAGCGAGAGGAAACTTGCCCAAATGTTCTGTCCAGCCCGGGAATCGAACCCAAGACTAATCTCTAGTAAGCAAATTGCGTCAACTCTTACCTCTCGCCGACGAGTTCTTCACAGAAGCTGCTCACTACCGCCGTCAGGTTCTGCTTAAGGCTGCTGCAGAAGGGCAGCCACTGCCCGCCTCTCTTCACCTGCAGGTACCCTTCCTTACGGAAACTCGGCACCACCTGCAGGGGACGACACTTATTCTGAACAAGAATATGTCTTCAGACTGGCGTCAGTCACACGTATTTTACACATTTCTCTGCAGTTCTATCCTCTCTAATACACCTTATTTTGCTCCTCATCTCTCGTGCCTATTTATTGCCTGTCTCTACTTCCTCATCACAATCTACTTTAGAATGGTCCAGGACGGACCGAAACGTTGTCGTCCCTTCACCTAGTGTGTGGTCTGGTCAACATCAATTTACACATTTCAGTTTGGATTAAGTTACTTTACTACAAACATTTATAAATCCTAAAATCATTTTATAAATCATCCTCCTCACTAATTATCACTCCAACAATCTACATACGCAACTAGAAATTATAAAGTTTTCCCCACAACAACTTTGAATCAACTAACGTTACGTGAAGTTAATCATGAACGTGAAGCAAGAGGGTGCGAGTTTGAAAACAGTGGGTCTTAAATGTTTCTAAAAAGATGTAATTTGAGAAAAATATTTGCTTGCGAAATCAAAATGCAAATAATTTCAATTTAAAATTTTAAGGTCACAATCGACATTTGTGTTATTGGTACCTTTATCAGGACTTGACACCGACAATGCCTCCCTGACGTAGGCCCTACTTGTACAAACAGAGATGGGAAGGAAGGCGGTAGAGACCTAACATGTGCAAAAACTAGTCTAGATAGTGCAGACGAGGAGTCACAACGTGGCTGAAATATGTTTACCAAACCACACTAGAAAGTGAAGGGACGACGACGTTTCGGTCCTTCCTGGACCATTCAAGTCGATTGTCATTGTGACAATCGACTCATTAAACATAATGAGTGTTTTGTCGAATCATCATTTGTTAGATATGACCAGAGCCAGTGGTCTCGGAATTCAACGTCTACCAAACTCGCTTGTCAACAGGGCATAGTTTTAAGCACCACAACTTCACGAATCAATCAACATTACTACTGTTGCTCCTGGAGTACGCTCTCTGGTAGCTCTACTGTGATGGGCGGACACTCACCGAGGAATCTACCTGCTGGAGGGAGAGTCTTCTGCAGAAGGCCTCGTCCTGGCCGGTGTCGCAGACGAGCCGACCGTCGCACAGTTGAGACTTTTCCACACACAAAGGTCTGCCTTTAACATCTCTACACCACAGCTGGCCCGCCATGCACCCTATTAAGGGCAGATCAATTTAATTATTTACCCATCACCAATGAGGCCATGGCCGCCAAGCAAACATTTGTATTTGGGATAAACTAATCTGACCAACTCTTCAGAAGGAAAGAAATCGACGAGGGGAAAAATAAAATAAAATAAGGGTGTGGGTGGTGGGGACGAGAGAGACTCGTCCCTGCACGTAACGTCACACTCGCCTGTAGGAGTCAAACGACACTGTCACCATCCTCGGCGAGATGTCCTCCTACAGAGGCGGCAGTATGGCAAAATATTTGCTCAAGCCCCACACTAACAGTTACTGGTAAATTTATTCCCGCGTGCCGACACGTTTTAGTTTTAAGTAGCTCTCTGAATTGTCTTCTACAATATCTAACCTTTGATGATTTACGCTAAAGACCTTCCCCATATCTCCAGCTTCCACTTAAGTCTCTAGACCAGTTCATTTATAGCATGGCTTATTATGCATTATCTTCTCTCTCTCTCCCTGTAGCGTGCTAACTAAAAATGGGATGACCTCTGACTGGGATGCATCTGGGATGATCTCCGACTCGGGTTCGAATCCTCGTCACGGCCCTTGTGGATTTTTTCATTGAAGCATCACGCTATTGTGATTTGTGTGTAGTGCTAACTAGTTCTCTCATCCATAGTTCATATACATCAAGCAAGACTAATTAACCATGTCAGGGACTGCCTTCACCACAATGATGCAACTGTTAGCATCACCAATAAGGATCATTCACATCTGAAGCTGTAAATTTAATTCAGGTTGCGTATTCCTAAGCATGACTTCACACGTGGACAACAGAGGTACAAATCCCGTTCACAATATACACGAGATGGAAGATAAAGTCTCGTGACAGGTGTTTAAGCACAGTGAACACCTCAGTTCCCAACTGAACAGCAGAGACTTCCCTTTATTGTTGCTGGTCACATTAAAGTACAAATCCACGAATCAAAACGGCTTAAAAGACGTTGAAAATCAAGAACATTTATCCAGCTGCTAATCAACGGAATGGACTGTGACTACAGACCTTAGCATCTCTAAATTCCGGTCTACCATCAGTAACTCCCTTTACGTCATGTAAAGCACCCGCCCACCGAAGCACAAACCCACCGAAGCATCCCAGCTCGTCGGTGAAGTCGGGGCAGTCGACGATGCCATCACAGTGCCTCTCCTTCGCCACACGTGAGCGACACGGACACCCTCTCTCGTCAGAGGCATCCGGACAGTGAACTGATCCGTCGCATCTCTGTTGCTTCGTGTAGCACCACCGGCGGTCCTTGCACTGCTGGAGGCCGTCTCCGGAACAGCCTGCAGGAGGAAGAAATACTTGCATGGAAGAGCAGCGCTGTAGGAACAATGGTTTGCGAAAGTAAACGGTTAAACATTGGTTGTATTGATTAAGCCTTTGATACCATACATCACAACCGATCAGACAATACGTAGTCATCAATACCCACTTTTCTGTTAACCACAAGGGACCAGAGAGCAGCAGTCTGAGCTCAACTTGTAAACATCAATGCCAGCGTTTCAAACTTTTCTACTATTTTTTAAACGATACTGTAGCTTTAGCCCTAACCTCCATACCCTAAATGAACACAAAAAAAAAAATTCAATCTCACTAATCAAAATACCTATATTTTGTTTCTAACCAAATTATCCAATCTTCAAATTAACAAATATTGAATACAAATTAGATTTTTTTTTTTAGATCGACAGACTAAAATATTAATTTATCCACATCTAACTTAAGGCAACTGTGCATGCGGGTCAATCACCGTAACCTGCCTCAAACTCACCAACAATCAAAACTATAAAAAGATCTTCAGACAACCAGCTGAACAATCCGTACATTGATGTGTGATAGTTACATTTACAGAGTCCTATGCAGGCTCTATAGGCTCTAAATGGATACAATAGAAGTCAAGAACACGATGCCAGAAGAAGTATCCATCAGTCAAAATAACCAAACGTGTCATGCACACGAATAGATCCAAAAACTTAGTATACGGGTTCCAGCCCTCTAACAGCCTCGGCACTTTGACGCCATCACGTTTCGGAGAACCACTCACCCCCCCCCCCCTCGTGATGTGCAAAGGTAGCCAGTGATTGGTGAAGGGTAAGACTCCCAAGAGGTGGCACGGGAGCGAGTAGCCCGTATGGGTAGCCACCTTGTACGCCACTTTATTGCCTAGCCTCTAAAAGGTAAGTAACTTACCATTTTTCACCTCTCAGTACTCTATACATTTTCCAAAAGTCATTACTCTTATTTGACTAATTTTTTCTTTTACTTGCTACATTCCTTAGTCAACTTTTGGTTCAAGATCGACGTCGCCTTTTTAAGATTCATTAAAAAAAATTGCTAGCTCAGGCATTCAAGAGACACTATGCACTAGTCATCTAAAATAAAACTTAATATAATCCAGCGTATATTACATAAACTAGAGCGCATAGGGAAGAAATTAATGGACGACCCCCCTTTAAAGACCACTGATCATTCCACCCTCTAAACACCCGGCTGTGACCCCAACCCTAAGACCTGACCAGCCGTCAATTATGGAGGCACTGAATCAAGATATGTCAGAACCATCTCCAAAGCGAAAACTTGAACGCACTATGTTTTTAATGTTGAGGCTACATGTCCTATGCTAAGAAAAAATGAAACTTGCCTCGAAATTTTGGGATATCTTGTGCTTGTTCAGTCTCCAGATCAGTTCTGCGCTTCACGGTGCCGTTCTTGTATACAAACTTCTTAAAGTCCTCAGCGTCGGCCACCATCATCTTCCCGTCATCAAGAGAGGCGCAGCGCCCCACCAGCGCCAGTGAGACGGCCATGATAATGGGGAAACAAACCCACCAACGCGAGAAAGCTAGAGTCATGGCGATAGAATGCAACGTGCATCTAATCCAGACACCTCACAATGTCGAATAAATCAACATGGTACACAATTTACAAATCCTTACATCGATCACAGACAACAAAAACGCCCTCGTGCGACAAGCGACAGGAACACATTGACGGGGCACGGATCGTCAGAGATCTCTCATGAAAACTGAATTCCAAACCGTTTCGAAATCACGACTTCGAAGTGCCGTGAGTTATCGGCATTTCGAAGCTGTTTTGGCGCCTAAGACTGGACCTCGAGTCTCAGCGCACAGCCCGTCTTCATAAACAAAGGACAAAGTCCATTCCATGCACCCGCCAAACCCCCTGTTTATGAATGAAAAGCGGTTTACACACGACTCACAACTGCTGACGTTCGAACATATCCGGAACAAGTGCTTCACTGACGAATTTTGTTCGAATCGCAACGCTATAAATGCTTCACCCACGTACTACAAATACAAATAATCGCCAACAGAACCTAAACACCTAACCTAACCTAACCTATGCCTATATATACACAATATGCCAATATATTATAATATTAATTTATACTTGAGAAAATTCCCGTTTTGAATGAACAGCATATTAAAATTTATGAATGCGTCTGTGGGGTCGACCGCTGGATGTAATGGACTTGAGTCGAGGACGGGTTGAATAATCGCCAACAGAACCTATAAACACCTAACCTAACCTAGGCCAAACTATACATAGAATTTTTTATGTATAATAACATGAATTTATATATGAGGACAAATCAATTTTGAATATACAGTATTTTAAAATTGATGAATGCGTCTGGGGAGGACGGCCGCTGCCTCGTGTGAGGACGGGTTGAGCTGTCTCCCAATGCTAAGTTTTCCCTGGATGCTAAGTTTAGCATCTTTGAAGATCGTGAGGTACCGACCTGGGCCCCCAAGAGGTAAACAGACATTGCTGGCGTGGTACTGTTGAAACACACGGAGAGCTCACTTGTGCTAAGCAGGCTGAGAAGAATCAAGCACAATTCAGCTTGTCACTGGCGTAATCTAATGGAACCATTAATGGAACAGAGATACAGTTTCCCTCTCGAGAAGCACGGAACAGTTGGAGAAATACAACTTCTACCACATTATTGTAAAAAAAAAAAATTACATCTTTAGTCATTGCAAAGTGGTCAAAAAGTCACTTAAAATATTCCTCAACTGGACTTAAGGTAGACTGCGCGGCAGGGCGTCAATGTTCCTTGTGCGCATGTCTAGGACCATCTTGTTTACGGGGGTTCCAGAACTCTGTTGAAATCACTTTGTTTCAAATACTTGGGCTGGACGGTAGAGCGACGGTCTCGCTTCATGCAGGTCTGCGTTCAATCCCCGAGCGTCCAAGTGGTTGGGCAGTATTCCCCCCCCCCCCCCGTACCATCTCAAGTCCTTATCCTGACCCCTTCCAAGGGCTATATAGTCGTAATGGCTTGGCGCTTTTTCCGATTGACGTTTCAGCCCCGCTCCTGTGCCAGGTAAGTCCATCACGGGCTCACCATAACCCGTGCTACTTGGAACTTTTAGTTCCCCGTAGCTGAATCTTAATCAACAACAACGCTTTCTCCTCATAGTTTCAATTCCAAATTTCCCAGATTATGAGATCTGTCCGTGCTAGTCTTCAGAGAACGGGCCGCTGAGACATTGTTCCTCGTATGAATTTACTTTTTAACATTTACAAGATCTTGAAATGTTAGTCCTGAACTAAAGTAAACTTAATGTGTATACTCCGAGACGCAGGCTCTACATCTCGGTATATAATATCCCTGAACCATCTTAAATATAGCCTAATGAATATGCTAGCCTAACCTTTGTGAAATTGTTACAAATAAACAGTAAAAAAAACGGTATTAGCTTTTTTCTAACGTAAGATGATATGTTCTGACATTAAAAATATTGATTTTGTTTTTTTGCAAGGATATTCCTGCACGGACCCTAAGCCTCTGGCTGGCCCACTAAGTGTTGCGATTCCCGCAAACTATATTCCTTCAGCTATATTTCTATTAATGTTAGTAAAATGTATTTTACTTGGTATCCCATAAAGTGAAAGGAAACGTGCCCAACCGTTTTTATCCCCCCCACCCCCGCCGTGGGAGGCACGATCTACATTGGGCATTGAATCTACATTATCAACGTTAATTCACTATTAATGACGTTAATTTGGCTTTGAATTAGCGTTGATCTTGGATATTGTGCCCGTTTGACTGGGGGTCCTCAATAGTGGGGGTCCTCAATAGTGGGGGTCCTCAATAGTGGGGGTCCTAAATAGTGGGGGTCCTCAATAGTGGGGGTCCTCAATAGTGAACTTGAAAAAAACAGGGACACTGCGACATATTGTCACCCGTTTTCTATCTGTAGGGCTAAAATGACCCCATTAACATTGTTCCGCCTTCCAAGACGGGCTTAGCCTAAGCTACTCTATCCCTTTAAGATGTATTTCTTGTCTCAATAAACATACTTGAACGGGTTTAGAGGCGGCAGTAGTGGTGATCCGGTGTTCAACTCACAAATGTTTATTAGGTATTTATTTACAGATTGAGGCGCAAGAAGCCTGTGTTGTTTATCGATACACCGCTTGTCTTTGTTGCTCCCTCCCCCTCCTCCTCACGTCAAGTTACTGGCTTTCCTCAGCATACTTACTGCTGGGTGAACAGAGGCATCTGGCTCACCCAGCGAGCAAACCCGGGAGCAGGCGACGAGTCACAATAACGTGGCTGAAGAATGTTGACCAGACCCCACACTAGAAGGTGAAGGGACCATGACGTTTCGGTCCGTCCTGGACCATTCTCAAGTCGATTGTGGTCGACTTGAGAACGAATGGTCTAGGACGGATCGAAACGTCGTCGTCCCTTCACCTTCTAATGTGTGGTCTGGTCAACAAACCCGGGATCTTCGAGGGAGTCTGTACAATGTAGTGCCAAGTACTATTAGACCTCTAGGTAGTATTAGCAGTAATTAATAATAACCACCATTTGAATACCACGATAATTCATCTGTAAGGCAGCCACAGATCTTGGGTAGTGTGCCGCATCTTAAATTTATAGCAAGCGTGTATAGGTGTTTCCAGAGGTTCTCACCTGTTTGGACCAACACTTCAGATTTATACTTTTAATATTTGGTCATTTAAACACGTATTATAGGAACTATTTGTACGAAAAAAAAAATTAAGTTTGAAACTAGTTTATTCATTTTTAGTGCTAAAACAAAAAAAAAAGTTTCAAATAATTAAAATTCTTTATCTTCTTTGTGGTAGATTATTAAAAATATTGAAATTAAACTGGGTCGTTTTTTCATTTGCCTTTTGGTTAGCTGAAAAAAAAAGCCGGTCATCTTACCGGCTGAAGTTTTTTTTTTTTTGCAAGCATCGTTTAACTCTAAAATCACTCGCGTTATGCTGATTTAAGGAATATAGTCCATAGTTAAACCAGATATATATATATACACACACTAAAGCCGCTAGTACTCAACGATTCCATAAGTGAAATATTCGCTTATCAGCCCGCCCTCTCGAGCATTCACAGTGGCACTAAACTGCTCAACTAAATTTTCATCGATTGTAACCGTGATATATATGTGCTTCAGCCTACAGTTTAGACCTATTGTCTTATGTATGACCCTCTGTCCTGCGTGACAGTGAATACTAGCATTAACCTCAATTTAATAAGACTATCAAAATCCTCAGATTAGGCAAAATTGTAATTAATTTTGTCAATAAAGATGTTAATAATAATAATAATAACTAAATTTTCCGAACTAATTATTAAACATGTCATTTTTGCGAGCTGTTAAAACTTTCAGTACAGTGCATCAGCTTTAGGTCGGGGGGGGGGGGGGGGGGGGGGGAGGGTAGGTGGGGGGGGGGGGGAGGGTAGGTGGGGATGTTATACAGCAGAATGTGGTGGTGTACGGGAGGACGGGTTGGTGTATCAAATTCCTTTTCCTGCCTGGCACGTCACCAGGGGACGTCTGTATGGTGATATTTAGGACAGTAAATTCTGAGGACTTGCGAGGCATTTGAGAATTTTGAGCTAAAATAGAGGATAGACGAAGAAAGTAGCCAATATAAATACTTTATTTTAAATAATAAAACAATTAAAAGTTCAACAATGTAAGAGATTAACAAATGCAACAAACAGAAAATGTTAAATGAAATTGTAAAATATAAATAAACTGCAAAAGCCGTTTAAAATAGTCCACCGTTTTTCCTTGGACAATCGACCCCAAAGACCAATTTTACGTTTTAATCCTGGTTTCTCTAAAATATTTTTCTGAAGCTTTCTCCTGGAAGGGAATCTAGAAACCAAATATTTAACCCCCTCCCTCCCTCTTCCCACATAAAAGCACCTTAATACCCTTCAGGTCGCTAGATTTAATAGAGTTTTGTCGACTTAGACAAGACCGACAGCTGGTAGAACAAACTGAGAATGGTTTCCAAGCGTGTCGTCACCTCTGGGATCTTTCTCTGCACACGTTATGTAGACGACAGTGTTGTTATCAGTCCTCCTCAAGCTGTAGTTCCAAGGATTGAAGAGATCTCTGTAGTCTCCCCCACCGACTCCCAGCGACCTGGCCGCCTTGCTCACCACGTTAATGTCAAGACTGCGAGGGTCCGTACTGCTGGCCCTGTAGTACCCCAGCTGGAGGCAGACCAGGTGAGACAGGTAGGGCTTCCACATCGAGTACAGGTAAGTGTACCACATCCCCGACAGCCGCACCAACAGGTAACCTAGAGGATGGCTCTCTGGAACCCTGCACACACAAGAATAGAAAGAGTTTAGTCAACTAAACTTTCACACTTCCCCTCTTAAAACCATGATCCGTCATGTGATTGTCATTTTTGTTAACATGTTAACCTGCCTCGCTTCACAGGCCACAATGAAACTGATAATATTTTTATAAAGAGTAACTTTCAAATTTCAAATTGGTAAAGATACACAAGGGTTCTTGTTAAGTTTGGTTGTATTAGCATTGAGCTAACTAATTGAGCAGATATGCCTAAAACGGCTTCAAATGACTTTAGTTTGGCAGGGGAAACTATGGCAAAACGACGAGCGTCGTTATTCAACCATCTTTGACTCATGATCCTCATTGCACACTGTCCGGGTAATGGTACTCTTATATTCACCGAGACCAAGCCCAGGAGATACACGTCTGCAGTGAGGAACTGCACTCTACACAGTCTTAACCCAAGCCACAAGGCTCACTATGCACAACCTGTTAAAACAAACTGCTTTCGCGGCATGCAATCTTCACCACACACTTTCGGAAACTCAATGGGGGAAGAGGGACAACAAAAATGAAATTAGAGAAACAATTTAAGGCTGCCCCTCGAAGTGCCTCACTCACCCCAGGACGTCCTCGTGGACGTGGACGGCAGGGGCGAGGGCCACACAGTGCTGCTCGTCCTCGCCCGAGGGACAGTCCCTCACTCCATCACACAACTTTGACTTCGCCACACACACTTGCTCCTCGGAACTGCAGGAGAGATGCCCAATTTTCAAGAAGTTATACATCTTCAGACAATATTGGAGGGGGGATCTTTGATACAAAGATACGTCAAATAAATTTAACAATGACGTTTACACTGCATAGATGTCCAAGGCACAACGAACTGAACAATATAGGGAGTTCCCCCAGGCTTGAGGAGCAACTTACAAGTGGCACCTGAACCACAGGCTGGAGGGCTGACAGCCGCAGTAAGCCTCGTCACTCTGGTCGCTACAGTCCAGCCGGCCATCACACACCTTCTCCGGAGAGTTCCCAGACAGGTACTGAAACGGGTCATTACACAAACATTCCTTTACATTAAATATAACTATAAAATTAGAAAAAAATTACCCTTTGACTATTTTTATAACTTTTAAAACATCTTAAACTTTTTAACAACGTTTAATAAAGTTTTAAAAACTTAGTTACGTTGCATCAAGATATTTGCATTGTTGGGCAGAAAAGTTTCTAGTCCCACCAAGCTGGCATCTTGTCTAGTGTTGCCTGGGGTGTGTCTAGTGTAGAATACTTGCCGAAGCTTAAATGGGCAAAGCATCTTTTTTATTTTAACCCAAATTAGCATGTTAAACTCTTAATCTCTAGGTTTTCACTATACAGTGCACACGACAGTCTTACAGTCGACTCAAAACTGCGATTTCACACCCGACGTATTTGTAGAGAAATCCCCCGCCCCGCAAGGAGCCAGAGTCCATATCTATGTACCGATCGTCTCGCTCGTATGCTTTCTCATGGCTCCTGGAACAATGGGGAGGGGGAGGGGGGGGGGAGGGGGTAGTCAGACGAGATGAAACAGGAAGAGGGATGTCATGAACAAAAGAGGCCCGCAAGAATGAGGGAGGAAAGGAGGCATAATGAGGGGATAAACTGGCAGGAATGGTATTGCGGTCAGGGGACGTAATTTTTAATTTATTATTATTATTTAGATATATATACAAGCGTTCTTACATTCTCCTAAAGCCACTAACACGCATAGCATTTCAGGCAGGTCCTTAATCTTCCCTGGAATATGATCCGCTAAATTTTTTAACAACCAGGTACCCCCTTCAGTGCTGGGTGAACCGAGGCGAACAGTTAAGGATTGGCGCCTAGTCAATCCTCCCCGCCCAGGAAACTAACCCAGGCGAAATTGCTTGCAAGGCGCGGGGCGAGTGTGCTACCACTGCGCCACGAAGACAATTACTGGAAGAGGAAGGGAAAGAGGGTAACGTTAAATAGAGACCAGTGAAAATGGGAGGGATACTCTGCACAGTACTCACGCGGCAACACACACAGTTGGTCTCGTCGGAGGCGTCGGGACAGTCAGGGACGCCGTCGCAGATCTTCTTGACCGGGACACACATCCCGTCCCGGCACGGAGCTCCGCCCTCTGGACACTCTGTACACACACCAGTTACTGATGTAGATACTATAGTGCACCGATTTGAAAACCTATCTTCGAAGGAAACTAGAGTGTGGTGCATTATTAGCAAGATATAAAAATTGGCTAATGTGATGCTACAAGTTAGAAAGTCAATTGGTAAAATGGTTAAAATGATCTAGCCGAGTTTGTGACTCAAGATTATCAGTGATTATAAAAACTACCAAATTTAGTGATTTAGGGCCAGAAGGCAATTTATGAGCGACAAACGAAGCTTTGATAAATTGTTGGGGCTTGTCTAGAATCTAAAGCGCGTCTCAGAAGCATTTAATATAGCTAAACTGTGGACATGTCGCGTCTCATCCCCAGTTCCAGCCTCTCCCTCTTTTTTCCTCTACAAAAAACATGAATCTTCTACAAACCAAGATAGAAAGTAAACAAATGGACACGTTTGTACCTTTTGACTGCTCATGAACTCAGATTTCCTGTTTATGTAAAGTACTTAAAAACTATGTGCATGCATCAAGTCCTTTTGTTAAAACCTGGCTAAATAAAGCTGACAATATATCCAACGCTGGTCGAGTTTTACTTGCTTAAGCACAATTTCTAAGTTCGTTGTTGTGCAGGGAAAGCAACCCCTTCCCCTAGACTTCTGAAGTTAGTGAACAGGGGCCAGATTCACGAAAGCACTTACGAACCTGTACCTCTTTTCTCAATCTTCGGAGGCTTTGTTTCCAATTATTAAACAGTTAATGAGCTCCGAAGCACCAGGAGGCTGTTCATAACAATAACAGTTGATTGGCAAGTTTTCATGCTTGTAAACTGTTTAATAAATGTAACCAAAGCCGTCAAAGATTGAGGAAAGATGTACACGTTCGTAAGTGCTTGCGTGAATCTGGCCCCTGGTTTGAGGTGGCACCTTACCGCACATGCCGGTCTTGTGGTTGGGTCGACACGTGGTGACGGGGTGCGGGCAGGCGGTGGGCTCGTCGCTCTGGTCGGGGCAGGTCACCTCTGCGTCACAGCGCTGCTCCTCAGTCACGCACACGCCCGTCACGCAAGTTCTGCCCGCGCACTCCAGCAGAGGCACGGGTTCATACCCCTCTGTAAGGTCAAGCGTGTCGCTACAATAGAATAAATCAATGTTGTTATAGATTCAGCTACTCTGAACAAGTTCCAAGTAGCACGGGCTATGGTGAGCCCGTGGTGGACTTATCTGGCACAGGAGCGGTGCTGAATGTGGAATAAATCAGAGAAAAGATTAAGCCACCCAAAAGGTGGCTTGGGCATGAATAGCCCATAAGTGGTGGCCCTTTTGAGCCATTTCCAGTATCAATAGACGATACTGGAGATCTGTGGAGGTGCGCCTGCACCCTGCGTGACGGGAGATGTCTCCCGTGGAATAAATCAAAATATACCCACAATATATACGATCATTGGTGCGGTGGTCACGGTACTGTGTACGTTTAGGGGGTGATCCTGGACGGCATGGGTTCGAATCCTGGCCGGGTCAAAGAGTTCTTAGTGATCTATGGCTTGCACGTTCATGCAGCTTTCTCACATGACCAGAAATGCACATGACCAGAAATTTATTTGTGGTATTGTATCTGTAGTATGAACAATTTATTATTAAAATATGCAAGTTCATCATTCTACAATGTTTTTAAAATATACACTTTTTTATCGAAACTAAAAACTTGACTTAAAAACCGAAGTCTAGAACCATGGCTCTTTAAAAAGGAAAATAAATCTTTATTTTAATGATTTTTGTCGGGGACAGGCAGCCTGTGTATGTATATACTTTTGACTTCTATTGGGAGGGGGGTGGGGTGTCAAGAGTCTCTGGGTAAGGGGAAAGACAAAGGATAGTATGAATGCGTACCGTTAACAGAATTTAGTAATTATTTTGGTTATATTTAAAGTTTGGGAAAGTGGTCGTCTTACTTATACAGAAGAAAAGGGATATTTATCACCCCCTGTCTATTTCGAATGTATTATAAAATAATGGCAGTATAGTGGTCTCAGTCTTTATAAACCACCACCGGCAAGCTCACTCACTCAATATATAAATCAACAGTATCATCTTTCTGCCCGAGGAATTCTTTTACAATATGTTGATTAGAGCCAGTCCACACACACACACACACACACACACACACACACACACACACACACACACACACACACACACACACACCTGTGTGTTGCACAGGATTGGATCATCTCGGACTAGTCGTCTAGTAACTCCTAGTTATCATATCAAACTCAGAGGAGACTAGTAACACTAGCACTATTTTATATTATGATTGAATTTTATGAGCCGAGTGCAACTCAGACGGGAGGACTAGTGACAAAATTTATTAGATGAACCTCACGCAAAGTGAGTAAAGTATAGTGGTATAATTCCTTACTCTTGAATTTTTTTTTTTTTTAACAACGTTTGATCAAGTCCAACCACTATGATTGGTCGGTACATCGATCACCTCGTTTCTAACTGGTCAAACCGTACAATTCCCAACGGTCAAAATGGTTAGACACTAATCCTTAACCCTGTCCTCGTACCCAAGCTCCTTGTCCTTCTAAGTGCCATGTAGTAATACTAGCTAAGCACTTAAGGTTGTATAGTGATAAGTAACACAAAAGTAAATGCCTAAGTGGCACTAAGAGACCTACCAATGATGGCTTGAATACCGAGAATGTTATCGATGGTGAAGAGCGGGTGTTTGGTGACTATGGAGCAGGTCTCGTCAGGGCGGTGGTACGCCCACACACCCGCCCCCACCCAGGTAGGGTTGCTCCCACGGGTCATCTGGCAGGCCACGACCCCTGACCACGACCTCTGCAAAAAGGGGTAGACCCTGATAGAGGGCTCAGGGGACAAACCACAGCCAATATTTCATTTCACTACGTCAATAGCAATTATATCCATTGTATAACACAAGATTAGCCATCGTCGATTATTATGAAAGTTAAGTAATGTATATTCAAACAGTTTCAACAATTCTTCCAAAATTCAAAAAATGCTGTCATTTAATTTCAAGTATTCCCCCATTATTTATTATTACGGGATTACATATTTTTCCCCAACTCATTCTCATGTTCAAATGTACAGCTTTCTAGAAGCTGTACCTTTGCAAAATGTCTTAACAATTTATGCTGCTTACTTGTATAGTGGCACTACAATTAGTACAAGCACTACAACCTCTAATACTAACTAAATTGTGCCCGAAATGCACTGTGTACTAGTGGCTTTAAGCATTGTATTTATGTTGCCCATGTATCTTCCTCGGTTCATGTATTTTTTTTATTTTTTTATTTATACAAGAGTTCTTACATTCTTGTACAGCCACTAGCACGCGTAGCGTTTCAGGCAGGTCCTTAATCCTATGTTCCTTGGAATACGACCCACCAAATCTTTTAACAACCAGGTACCCATTTTACTGTTGGGTAAACAGAGGCTTCAGTTAAGGATTGGCACCCAATAAATCCTCCCTGGCCAGGATACGAACCCAGGACAAAGCGCTCGCGAAACGCGAGGCAAGCGTCGTATCACTACGCCACGGGGACTGCTTTATATGTACACATAAATGATCATCTCGGAAAAACCGTTCGCTGCATCAGCCACAACACAAAGTGGGCATTTAACTATTAACAAAGTCTCCCTGCACACTTTACGACTAAAACAGAAGCGAAAAAGTAACGGGGGAAAAAGGAGGAAACCCCACCTCCATTTAAAACTTTGACCCAAATATCAGAGTAACAAGGTTATCGCGAATAACCAAACTCGATTACGGGCTCACCATAGCCCGTGTTACATGGACATTTTGTTCCGAGTAGCTAAATCTAAAACCAACAACAACTGCACACTTCTGCCTCACCATGCAGGGGAGGTTGGCCTGGCCGGGCTGGATACACAGGTGATGGTCGGGACAGTCGCTGGCCAGTCGAAGGAGCACACCAACGCTGACCAGACCCCGGCCCTCGTGCAGGCCGCCCACCGCACACCTGCTGTCATTCTTCGGCTGTGTCACGCTCCTGAAAGGCACGACCAAATTTTTTAAATTTTAAATTTTGCCCCGAGGGGCGAGTTTATTGGGCAGCGCCACTCATCTTTTGAGTGAACACACCGCCATAGCAGAATGTACAACACTCCCCAATAGGAAGAAAACCCGCTGGGTTGTTCATCCTGTCACAGTAGGCTCGCTGGCACAGAATGACTGAATTACGCAAGGCGACTATTTTGGCGTAAACCCTTTAACACTATAAATACCTGGAAATTATCTTTCCCTTCACAATACCTACCTCCCTTCGATAGGTTGGGATTATGCACAGAATCATGGATAGAGTTTTATAGTGGTAGAGCATCTATAATAAGCGTATTAAGGTGGTACTTGCTTTCTGCAAAATTTGTAATAACTATATTGATTCTTAATTTAAACCAAGAAAATCTAATGCAGTATTAGACACCCTCTTTTGGCAAGTACAGACTCCTGCCGACACTTGCCAGAAATCACCGATACACTGGTGATTGAAACTTTCACAAGCTCCGGCAGGATGGCTGAGCAGCGATACAAGAGTGTCAGAGGCACTTATCTATTGAAGATGTGGGGGTCATAAGGAGGAGAGAAATTATGCCCACTAAGTGTGTGTACTCTCGCTACTCACTTGGTCGGGAGACACAGGTGGGCGATGTAGGGAGTCTTGGGCATTCTCTCTTCAAGTCGCAACAAGAGGATGTCAGTGTTGGCCACCGCCTTCATGTACGTCACCCGACGGTCGTGTTCGTGGGCGCCCCAGAGCCGTGTGGGCGACCCGACCAGACGCCGTGACCCCATCACCATCGACACCATCGACCGCTGCAAGCTGACAGTGAAGGCGATAGCATAAGCGCAACTGGGCGTCTAGCGTGGTCGTGGGAGAACACGGCATAACCAAACTATTAGTTTCACTATAATCGTTAGCACTCAAGTTCCTCAAGAGCACAAAATACCGCCGTCGGCAGCATACGAGTATTGTGTTACGTCTCACCTGACTCCCTTCATGCAGGTGTCGGAGGTGACGACCCAGTGAGGTCTGATGAGCGTGGCACCACACCTGTGCCTGCCGTCGACGTACACAGTGCCAGCCCAGGGGAGGCCACCAGCCATCCCCACGGGGGTATCCTTGCTGAAGTAGTACAGAGGAGCCTTCCCGCATGACTCCCTCTCGCAGCTCACCACCGCCTGAGGAGCCCAAGACGACAGGAAGAGCCGCCACCACCAATCAAGAAAAACATTTTAAAAGATTAGCAAGACGTCGATAAGGTCACAGAACAAGACAACATAAGCAAGATGTAAAATAATACCCTAGAGGCTCCATGCTCCCCCAATGTGGGCTCCACGTACCTCCAAAGTGAACACGGAGCACCAATTCAACAATTAACTGTGCTTTAGACCATCGAGATTACGTGAATATCTGAATTCTAGGCTGGCATAAGTAGCTTCAGAATGTACTTCACTGACTGCAGTTTGACACCATTAAATTTATATTAAAAAAAACTGAGCTGGGTCACTAAGTGACCCAGCTGAAGAGGACAAAAGCACCATACTCGCCCCGCTATACAACCCTCTGCAGAGCGCGTCACAACGTTGCTGAAAACATAACCAAACCCAAATCATGGAACTACAGGGACTCTCCCTCTCGCTCATGCTATGTCCTAAATTTACATGGGACTCCAGGACATATAGACAACTTTAACTTCATATTTGGGTTGTGCTGTACAACTCTTATTCTTTACCGTCTATGCCTCACCTGGGAACAGACTTCCCTCTTGGTCCTTCCGTCCTGCATCTTATCTCTAACCTGCTGCAGGAACTCTAGACCCGGGAGACTCGTGCTGGAGCTATCGTCGACCACCAGCCTCCTGACGCTGCTGGCGCCACTCTGTCCCACGACGGACCGTCTCTGTTTCCGCTTTCTTTCAGGAAGCTGATGGAAGTTGGTGACGTTCCTTTCGGGGTGTTTGACGGGGAGGACCTCACGGACTTTTGGAAGACTCACGTGGCTCTCTGCCTGGATATAGCTCACGTTGGCCAGTTTACTGAGGAGCAGGCGAAATAAGGTGACTAATTGAAACTACACGAGATTCCGAGACTGAAACGAGGACTACATTTTACTATTATACTGCCAAGTTATGCTAGATTTGTATTTTCTAGATATCTAAACATTAAGTTTGATATTTTGTAGGTGGGGGATAAAGACGGGAATTTAATGATGAAATATTTGTGCAAATTAGTTGCGTCAGCGAGATTTCTTTTGGATAAATTCAGTAAAGTTGTCGATTCCTTCAGATAATCTGTTTAATCCTTTATCATGTGTACCATTTACACGCGTCATCTCACCTGTAGCCGAGATAGGAGCAGACTGTGATGCCAACATCCTCTGGCAGGTGGTCCAGGCACACCGAGGACCACTCGGCTCCTCCTCCTGACCGCAGGACCAGCGTCCCATGTGACCGGTCCACCAGCTGACCAAACTTGTCGTACTCGAGAAGTCCAGTCTCCTGCAGCAGCCCGACTGAGGCGCAGCAGGAGGGAAACGTGCGACAGTCAGTTCTGGTAAACCCAGCGTAAACACCTAAATATTGGCGGCAATGTTCTCAAGTATTCAATATACCGACAGGTTAATAACCACTTACTGCAGTTCAGTTCATCCTCTCCGTATACGCAGTCAGTCTTGCTGTCGCATACCTTCTCATAAGGGACACAGGCGCGGCTCCTCGCACACAGGAAGTCACTCCCACACGGGCCTGAAAGAGAGGTGGTTTTGCCAGTCTCAGTTCAGCAGGAAGGTGCTATTTTACCAATGTTGTAATGTGAACAAGGCCTCTGGAGATAATTTCCATCTAAATTAGAGAAAATAAATTTAGACACCGAGTGTCTTTATAAACTTTCTATCCATACACTATTCCTGCCCAACCCTGTCGTCAGTAGATGAAAATTGCACACTTATGTATCAAGACAATCTACAGCTCGTCACAAGCCGCCTTACTGCAGGTCTCGTCGCTCAGGTCGAAGCAGTCGAAGTGGCCGTCACAGTCGAGGTCTTCACGGAACTTCAGCAGTCTGTCGAGGCAGGTGCAGCCGATCTCGTCAGTGCCGTCCTTGCAGTGCCGCACCCCATCGCACACGGCCTCCCAAGCCAGGCACTGAGGCACTCTGTGGGGCCGAGTACAATTTTAGATGCAAGCGACCCAAAGACCGCCTGAGCTGTTGGATGTACAAGATGGGGGTAATACAAGAGGGTCTGTAACAGGCAGTGTGTCGAGGCAGCAGCTGGTGCTGGGCACACTGGGGGACACTACCAGCCTGCAGCAGGTGACGAGATCCTCCCAACAAGTTATGATGGATCACTTTTGTTCAAAAGAATTTTGTATGGCGATTATTAACCGAACAAAGCTAGCCATAAGAATTTGTTGTCGTGGGCATGCAAGTTGATTTTCAACCAGCAACTTGCATGGCCGCAATTTGCCAGTTTAAAATTTCCAACCAGCAAATTGCGGCCACGCAAGTTGTTTGGGTATAAACGGCGATAAGGGGAAGCTGGTGGTGGTTACCTGGTGGTGCGGCTGGTTAAAGAATCGTTCAGGAAAAGTTGAGCGACTAGCGAGTCGAAACAAAAATAGTTGTGCGACTTATCTGGAGTCGAGGAAACTACCTCTATCATTGTTATCTATATGACTAACGTCAGTTTACCGTGTTCAAATCTTTTTTTTACAAACAACCTTCGTTTGATCCATGAAAATTAAACTGTCGAATGCTAGGAAACTAATTGGAGGTCTCGTCATAACCCTCAGTTTCTCCAGTCCAGATTGGCAAAGAATTTTACTTACTTCGAGCAGACGAACTCGTCCTTAGAACAGTTGGTTTCCGTGGTGATGGAGTCGAGGGTACGTTCAGGGTACTTGCACATGGCAGTGCCCTTTACACTGCTGGCCGAGCCTGGCGCTGTAGTAGAGTTCGTTTCCCGCAGTATATCAGTGGTGACGCCAAGTACCCCTGGAGGATACGTCGGGGCGGACGTGGAGGCGGACGTCGAAGCTGACGTCGGGACGGACGTGGAGGCGGACGTCGTGACGGACGTCGGAGTCGTAGCGTTCGGAAGATTTTTGTAGTAGTGTGGGCAGTTCATCTCATCCTCACCACCAAGACACTCCGTCTATCGAAGCGAGAAAACCAGTGTTACTTGCAAGATATAATTACTTTTTCACAACGCCAAGATTGTCTATAAAACTCTTAGTCAAAGAATCTCATGCTAAATGGCACCGCTCACCTTGCCGTTGCAGATGTGGGCAAGAGGAGCACAGGAGCCATAGTTTAACTGGCAAAGCATGCCCTTACATGGGAGAGGTCCAGCCCTTGAAGGGGCGTCCATCTTACCTGCAGAAGGATAAAACCTTAATTAAAACGTCTTCATCAAAAGTACCGAAGACAAAATTTGGATAATTTAAATAGTGTATCTATAGTCATGCCAAATTTCGATTCCAACAAACACAGCAGTGAAAGGTACTTCATATCTGAACAAAACTGCAAGAGCTTTTAGTACATTGTTTGCGCACATGTGTTCATAACCTAGGATTTTCAGACTGTGGTCTGTAAATAAATATGAACACTGTATTTAACGGGGTGAGAATACCTTGAGATATAAACAAACACGGTATGAAGTTTCTCAAACTTATTTCAGTTCAACTACGCACAGAATACGCACTCCCACTATCTCGCACAATGTTTATGTACGAGAGCTATGTACCATCACAGCAGACGACGGGACGTGGTTCATTTTAAAAGACAAGGCTTAGATAAACGGGCAGCAGAAGAACGGGCAGCCCGCTGTTGAAAAAGACAGGCGAGGAGTGCCGCCAGAGGCATAAACAAGGCGAGTCGCCACAAGATACCATTGGGTTAGCATTGCGCCTTTTGTGCTGCTTAGCACTATACAACAGATTACCTCCTGGGAGATGGAGGACTTGGTGGAGTCTGAACTGATGCTAGTGCAGTTATCCATGCTGCTGGAGAGCTTGGCATTCGGCGCAGAGGCCTCTCTTCCCGAAGATACGTCGGGAGTGTCTTGCAGATAACGTGCGAGTGTCTGGTCGATGCAGTTGTTCGGGAAATGCCAAAAAACAATCGTGTTAAGTCTCCAGCTGGAAGGAACTTTCTCACACTCCGTGTGGCTGCTGCGAGTTAAGTCTTACCTCGGCCAATAACGAATGGGTATGCACCCGGGGCAGAGGCCCAATCAGTCAAACCAAAGGCACCAAGAAGCCGCACTCGCTGCTTCGACGCTTGAGGGGAGGGGGGGGGGGAAGGGCTCCCGGGTCTCGCCCTAACTTTGAACACTCCTACTCTACCTGTCTTCCGAAAAGTGTAGTAAGGAGGCCTGGTCAGACCGGGTCGCGGGGACCTTCACCCCAGGAATCAACACAACGTAACCATATATCAACTACTGATCGAATGTACAAAAATGGATCCGTTACAAGTTCTCCACGGCCATATATTTATATATACAAGAGTTCTTATATATACAAAAAGAGTTCTTACATGAAGAATTTAAGAAAAGAAAATTTAAGAAAAACAAACACTTATCAAAGAGTTCACAGAGTTTCTTCCTATTGGGTAATCTCAGCCAGAGGAGAGTTATTTTTTATTTTTTTATTTTTATTTAAAGTATTTTTTGCCTTCACAAACAAGCAGTTAGCCGCCTTCATCTAGCAGTGGTGCAGCTCAACACTTCATTGGCAACGGAAGCAGCAGCACGTCGCGCTCGCAGTGAGATCTAGGCGATACGCTGTTTGAGCGCCCCCGCACCTGCAACCACCTGCCTCTGCATTATTGCAGTTACATGGGACCACCGTTTTGAGGCATCTGACATCACAACCACCACAGTGATCCAACAGCATCGATTTAACAACAGCCAGAGATGCAGAGCGCTAGTAGCACCTGTTGCTAACTTGCAAGGTCAGGGCCGCTTGGTCGGCCCAGACGAGCATACTCTCGTGGTAACCCTACCTGGGGCCACATCCTTATCACAGCCATCTTCCATCCAAGGCAACACCCAGGCAAACTGGCACACACCTCTTTTTCAGGCAACGACGGCTCTTCCTCTCGGCGTGTTCACGGTTTATGTTACAGCTCTATCAGTGATATAACGTGCAAAGATACATTACCCTAGTGGGCCAACCCGTACTGCCACCCTGAATAAAACCAGGGACAGCTGGATGGCCTAACTTACGTAATGTGTATTGCCGTGCATAGCACTCTTTCTCTCCTCTGCTAAACATTTCTTCCTCTTCAGGCCGGGACCTACCCCCTGTGCGGTGAAAGTGCAGTGGGGTATTCGTCCTTTCCTCCCAGGTGGGGTCACAGCACGTGCTTGCGCCCTGTGTCTCCCTGCCTGGCTTGTTTGCTATGCCGATCCACTGCTAGAACCTCGTGATAGTGCGAGTCAACTAGCAGTGGGGGTTGCCCTTGAGTAACACCTTCAGGACTCACGAATACTTTGTATTTGTGCCGAACCGGGTTCAATTAGCCTGCTAGGAACCCGGAATTACGCCTCTGACAACCGAGCTCCAACCCACAGCTCACGAGCACACTGACCCCCCCACTGAGCTAATGGAATCGCAGTGATTGGCACAAGACACGGGACTGTCAGTAGACAGTGAGTCACAATGGCTCACTGTCTACGGATGACCTACACTGGGAATACACCCATAGACACAGTTGACTGCATCACTACCTTTTACAATGCCACTGGCACACCAGCCACTAACCATATAAAACATGCCAACACAAACACCATCAAATTTCTCATTGCCTCTGAAGACGACCTTTTTGCCTGTTTCAAGGAACCTACTTTCAGAAAACTCACACAAGCTTCACTTACTCCTGTTCTCACTATTGAACAAAAAACTAAATGCTCTGTACTTGTAAGAAATGTCGACAGCTCTGTCCTTTCAGCACCTACTACTATCAATCTCTCTCAAGACATCTCTCACAGGAATGCTATTACTGTAATGGAGATATACCCAGTGCCCAATACAAAACACCTCAAGATCCAATGTTCCTCCCCTACAGAAGCTCAAAAACTCTTGCACCATGGAATTAAAATCCTCAACACCAGCACTCCTCCCTATCTCATTAGTCCAGTTGACTATCTTCCTTTGCTGCAATGCTTTAAATGCTACAAATACAGTCATGAAACCCGGAAATGTAAAAGCCCACAAATTTGTTCAAAATGTTCTGCAGAAGGCCATTTTTACACTCAGTGCTCTGCCAACACTTTAAAATGCATCAATTGCCAAGGAGGTCATTCAGCAGTTGACAAATCTTGCCCTTTGAGAAAGCAAACCCTAAAATCTCTTCGCAATAACCAACCTCGCACTCAAGCACACCCTCATTCCTCTTCTTCAACCTCCCATAACCTATCTCATCACCAAACAGCATCAGCCACCTCAATGTCCTATGCCAGTGTCCTTAATGCTTCACCTCACCAGCAACATCATCATAATACTGCACAACAAACTCAGTCCTCTCCACCTCTCTTCCCTCACCCACCACCTCCACCTTATTCTCCTCTTCAGAACCTTGCATATGAACGAGTCACTGCCTGTGTACAAGCTGCTTACTTGAAGGCCAAGGACGATGGCCGTGACTTTGCTGACTATCTTCCAATCTTTCTCACTCATAACGGCCTTCCTAGTATCTCTGTTCCTCCTACTCAACTATTGCGCTCTGCTCCATTCTCGCCTACAGTCCTCACTCCACAAAACACCATGACTTCAGCTGAAGAAAATACTACAGTTCCCCCACAATCTCCTACCAACCCACTCCTGACTGCTACAGAAAACGGTGCCACTGACCAAACAGCACATCCTGGACTATCCCAAACTGAAGCATCCATGTCAAAGGCACTTTCAACCTCTTCTCCCAACATTGTCCTCTCCACTTCCAATCTGACTACTAACACTACAACCTCTGATACCTCTCACCCGGTCCCTGTCAACAAGCCTTCTGTCTCCCTCCATCCCCCAACAACTTCAGTCATTTCTTCTGTAACTCATCTTGTCTCGTCCCGAGCCCGTTCAGCAACCCGTTGTCTTACTCCCACCTCCCGCTGTAAATATCCTACAATTCCTACCACCATCCTCCAAGATGCACCCTCCTCAATAACTGCCCAACTCATTGAATCACGCAACCCTCATGCTCTTGTACATGCACAAAACCCCACCAGCACCCCATCAAAACCTAAAAATTCATAAAGATCATACAGTTTAATGTGCGGGCATATTTCAACATTAGACACATGGTGTCAGATTTTATTGAGATCGAGAGACCTGATGTGCTATTATTAAATAGCACATACATCACGAACTCATATAAAATCAAACATTATGGCTACACCTCTTACCAGTCACCAGATGAAGCACATGAAGGAGTTGCAATACTCATCCGTTCTTCATACAAACACGAACTCTTACACACTCATTGGCTTCACAAACATTTCCTAGCCATTAAAGTTCATACACAAATGGGGTCTCTCATCATCTGCACAACCTACACCCGTCCTAACACCGACATTCCCATGCAAGATTTCATAACTCTCTTCAACAACTCTCACTTGCCTGTTTTTCTGCTTGCAGACCTCAATGCACAACACCCTACATTCCACCACAATACCACAAATCAGCATGGCAGACAGCTTCACCAAATATACACCCAAAAACATCTATTCTTTCTTGGCCCTGATTTCCCCACTTGTTTCACACATACAGGTTCTGGCCGGCCTGATCTCATATTCACCAACAGACACGGCAGCAACTTGCAACACTTCATTTCACCAGGGCCCATTACGGGCTCTGATCATATTCCCTTAATTCTCACAGTCTCCACAAATCCTATTCTCATCCCCAGCACTCCTCAATTCTCATACCATAGGGCAAACTGGGACATGTTCAAACAACACATTGATGACACTGATCTCACTTATGAATACAATGACAAACATCACACTGACATCGACACACAAGCACGCAACATACAAGACACCATCATTCATGCAGCAAACATCTCCATTCCTAAAACAGCACACAAACCACATTTCACTTTCACCCCCTCCATTCGCTCCAAACGCCTCTTAGCTTGCTATCACACTAGATTCTTACAAAACATACATCGTCATGGACAAATACTATGGGACCTAACAGCATTAAAAAACCATATCCTTAACAGCCTAGATGAAGATCACACAAAACATTGGAAACACCTTATAGAACAAGCAGAACAATACAGAAAACTGACACCTCAAGAATTCTGGAAACGAATCAAACGATTACAAGGATCAACTCACACACCGTTTAAATACCTTCTACATAATAACAACAAAATCACTGATCCTGAAGCAGTTCTCAACATTTTTAAACACCACTGGGAACAAATCTTTCACCCACATCCTCCTGAACCATTTGCACGCCCCAACATTGAAATAGTCGAAGACTGGATACACCAAAATAGACAAGCAACTACACCAGACGACCTCATTCACCTTGAAAATCTCAATTCAAACACTGAACTACAGACTCCCCTAACTCTAGCTGATGTCAAGACAGCTCTCATGGGCACTCGTCGTAGAGCCCCTGGTGCGTCTGGCATTGGACATATCCTTCTTAGACAACTCCCTGCTTCTATCATTACTGCTATCACTAACCTATTCAACGCCTCCCTTGCCTCTGGATACTTTCCACTCAACTTTAAGTCTGCCACAGCCGTTCTTATTCCAAAACCTGGGAAACCCCACACTGACCCAAAGAACTATAGACCCATCAGCCTTCTAGAGACACTTGGCAAAGTCTTTGAAAGGCTGATCAACCAGAGACTTAGAACCCACCTTGAACACAATGACTTACTCACTAACAAACAGTTTGGATTTCGGCCTCACCGGTCCACTCACGACGCCTTAAACATCATGACTAACTACCTCAGTATCAATCAGCACCAAAGACTTAAGACTGCACTCATCACTAAGGACGTTGAGAAGGCCTTTGACACTGTTTGGCATGACGGCTTAAAATTCAAACTATGCAACAACTTTAATCTTCCTCTTATCACCACCAAACTTCTTTCGAACTACTTAGACAATAGGACAATGAGAATTAAGTTCCTCCAACAACACTCTGACTACTTCAACTTACACGCCGGTGTTCCCCAAGGTTCTGTTCTTGCCCCAACACTCTACATCCTATACATAAACGACATTCCTGACCCTGTTCATCACACTTCATTAACCATATGTTATGCTGATGATGTCTCTCACCTTGTCACCAGCAACACCATTGATACACTAACAAACAGAGCACAAACAGAACTTGATGTTGTCACTGAGTGGGAGTACAAATGGCGTATAAAAACCAACTCCAGCAAATCTAAAATCACCTACTTTTTCTGTAAAAGAACTATTCGCCCAATTCCTCTCAAACTCTATTCATACACTCAAAATCCTACTTATATCTCTGTATCTCCCTCCTCCACAGTCCTGGGACTCACATTTGATCGACAACTACTCTTTCACACACACATAACACAGAAACATGCAATAGCTCTTCAAGCCATGAAGAAACTATACAGACTTAGATTTGCAAAACCTGACACAAAAATGCACCTTTACAAAGCACTTATTAGACCTCTCCTAACATACGCTCCACTAGCTCTTTCTCTATCTGCACGCACTAACAAAATAAAACTTCAAAGAATACAGAACAGAGCACTAAGATGGGTACTCAACACCCGATGGCAAGAGTTAAATACCAGTCAAAGTCTCCATGAAAGTACTAACATTCCTGCCCTAAATACCTACTGGAAAACTCTATCAGACAAACAAATCGATAGACTACTCACTCATCATGAACAACACATTGATTTTCTCCTACACACTCTCAGACTACCACGAAACAATCATGACCTCTTCTCTACCATCCATGATCCTCTTCCTAACTCTGTATTTCGTTAAACTTTAGCTCTCAACACCCAGCATCCACTATCATTACATATTCAGCTCTCAACAACCAGCACAAACAATCCGTAAAAAAGTTCAGCCCTGACGCTCTTGAGCCAATCACTGTGATGTTGTGAGTTTGTGATGTCCCGATGTTGTCACTGAAAACACCCGACTGAGTCCCTGCCTCGAAAGCCGCAACCTAACGACACGCAGCTGGGTTTAGCCCTGGCACTTTTTCTCTTACAAATCTTCTTCCTCTCACCCCCCCTTATCTTCTTCTGTCCCCACTTCCAAGCTCGCCCCTATGGGCATCTTCTCCTGTATTATTCTGATTCTGATTCTTTATTTGATTTTCATTTGTTTCCACCTGCGACTTACACATAATAAGTAGCAGCATTTTTTTTATTTATGTGAGGGAGAGCCATACCATCTTTGTTCAGTATAGCTGCAATACCACAACCCGTCACAATATCTTCCAATATATACCCCTCTTAAAAAGTTATTTGAACCATAACTATCCAACATTTTAATAACCAGGACCTGTAAAACTGACGAATAGTAAAAACACTTTTACATACATACCCATTTTGGACGTTATCCAAGGAAGGTAGTAGGAGACTCTAGCGTAGACTCCAGGACTGTCTGGCCTGGCACACCCCACCCCGAAGGACACCACACCCACCTGAGTCCACCCACTCGACCTGCGACAGAAGATTAATTTGCTCGTGTAAAATTGTTCAAAAGACGAGGGACGTAGGGTAAGGTAGTTATGAGAAGGCACTACGCCCTTACAACTATATAACACTTTGAAGGGGTCAGGATACAAATTTGGGATGGGACGGGGGTAAGGAATGGTGCCCAGCCGCTTGGAAGGCCGGGGGTTGATCGCAGACCTGCAACAAACTAAACCGTCAATCTACCGTCATTATTAAACTTCATGTCTCCCAAAACATATGACCAGGCCAACCAGAATAAATCAGGAATCTCGGCAAAATTACTAAATACGCTGCCCAGTTGGATATTTCGTATTAAAACGTGAGAGAAGGGTGCCCGAGGGTATGCAGGTGATTAAGTCACAATAACGAGGCTAAAGTAAGTTGACCAGACCACACACTAGAAGGTGAAGGGACGACGACGTTTCGGTCCGTCCTGGACCATTCTCAAGTCGATTGTGAATGTCGTCCCTTCGTCGTCGAAACGTCGTCGTCCCTTCACCTTCTAGTGTGTGGTCTGGTCAGCCCGAGGGTATCTTTACCTTTTACAAAAGAGTGGTCCACCGGAGTCTCCCTGGCAAGAGTCCCTCTTGCCCTCCTTGTAGCCAGCGCAGATCACCTCCTGGTCATTAATGGTGGTGAAGTGTTTCTTGCAGGTCTTCATGATGGGCACCAGTACCTGCTGCAGGTGGTCGGCTGCAGGACACGGGTGGAGAGAACAAGTCTATAGGCACAAATATCAGGGGAAGCAGCACTGGGGTGTGAAGGCCAGGGGGGGGGGAATATTCGAGTAAATGGAGGGAGCAAAGATATACACAATCAAGGTAAGAATTGTGATAATGAAAGTTAAGTTTTGATTGTGGCATTTAATTCTTTATTTGCAAGTATCAAAAACAGCCCGCCAAGCTGAGAAGACCACATTTATTCGCTGGCAAATGTTATCAGCGTCAAGGAGAGTCGTGAGAGACTTACGAGTAGCTGTGCTGTTCTCCGCCAGGGTGCCCCACCCCGCCACATAGCACACGTCTCTAGTGCTCAACTCTGCCTTCGTGTCCAGACACACCGGCCGCACCCATCTGTGCAGGCAGGAGAGCAAAGGCTTATTGGGGATTGCAGCCCAGTCAAGAGGGTAGCTAGAGTAACAGCATTTATAATAGGGAACGAAAAATCTTACCAAATTATGGTCCTTTGCTAATCTAAATTAAATACATTTGATTCAAATAAGAGTTACCATTAAACTTTTCAGGGTAAAAGTGAGGTCACCATAACTAACCTCATAGTCCCTAATCTGTTACAGACACAGACAAAGCTGGCCAGGTCACTCTCCCCTACCCTAAACTAATTCTTTCGTTGGCAAATCAAGAATGTCCCTCGGGCAATTCCCAGCCTATTGCGACTGCTTTTTCATCACCTGTTCAGTTGCAAAGGAGTCTTCACTCTAATGAGCGCCACGTCGTTTCTGACGTGCTTCGAGTCGTAGTAATCGTGAATGTAGATCTGCGAAATAACCGAAGTCTGCTCCTGTGGCGAGAAAGATTTGATGCGAATCATCCCAACATGAACGTCCGTCAACTTGTTCAACCACCTGAAACAAATTGGGACCCTTGCTGATGAAGCCGTGTGACACGTCTAAGAGGAAAGGGGTGTGTGCAGTGTTTACACGCCTATCCCCTTTTAGGATACTATATCCACCGAACATAGCAAATCTAGCCCATCTTGAGGGCTCAAATCTACAGAAGATATTTAATTCGTCCCTCTGCACCGAGACATCCACCCCAGGCAGCAGTGGGCTGCGGTCGGTACCCACCCCAGGCAGCAGTTGGCTGCGGTCGGTACCCACCCCAGGCAGCAGTTGGCTGCGGTCGGTACCCACCCCAGGCAGCAGTGGGCTGCGGTCGGTACCCACCCCAGGCAGCAGTGGGCTGCGGTCAGTACCCACCCCAGGCAGCAGTTGGCTGCGGTCAGTACCCACCCCAGGCAGCAGTGGGCGGCGGTCAGTACCCACCCCAGGAAGCAGTTGGCTGCGGTCAGTACCCACCCCAGGCAGCAGTGGGCTGCGGTCAGTACCTACCCCAGGCAGCAGTGGGCTGCGGTCAGTACCTACCCCAAACAGTAGTGGGCTGGGGTCAGTATCCACCCCAGGCAGCAGTGGGCTGCGGTCGGTACTTACCCCAGGCAGCAGTGGGCTGCGGTCAGTATCCATTCTGCGGAGATGATGGTCCCACCACACCCGTGCTGACCCTCCCTCACCAGGCTCACCAGGAAGGTCCACACGTCCGCGGACGACTCTTCTCCGCCCACTATTCTCACCTGACCGGGAGTCGGTCTCTCAATGACGCTCTTCGTTCGATCTTCACTGCCATGTGGTCCTGCTCCTGGCCAGGAGTACCGCATATAATAAACACTTAATATACTTTAATTGACCATTTGAGTGATGCCTCCAAAAGCGGCTTGTTTACTGTGTACTCTATACTCTTCCAGTGACGAGTATAGACGAGCACAAAGAGCTCTGCAAATATTTTTACATTTAAAATTTCACCTAATCTTAATGACAGCTAGTAACCTTTTTGTACATCGACAACTCTTGTCGATTCGTGTCTCCAATCTTGAGTATTGAAAACTAAAGTTCTGCATAGCCAGAAGTACGCCCCTGGGGTCACGTGACCAGTGCCAGCCTATCACACTTCTACTCTAATAGAATCCTAATCTAGCTCAGGATTGGTCGACCTTTCCCGCAATCGTATGACGATCAGTGAATTTAGGCGTTGAATAATTATTACACATACACACACACACATTAAGAGTAGGAAGTAATCTGCAATCACGACTAATCTGTAGAGTGCTTCTTGAGATTATCTTGAGATGATTTCAGGGCTTTAGTGTCCCCGCGGCCCGGTCCTCGACCAGGCCTCCACCCCCAGGAAGCAGCCCGTGACAGCTGACTAACTCCTAGGTACCTATTTACTGCTAGGTAACAGGGGCATTCAGGGTGAAAGAAACTTTGCCCATTTGTTTCTGCCTCGTGCGGGAATCGAACCCGCGCCACAGAATTACGAGTCCTGCTCGCTATCCACCAGGCTACGAGGCCTCGCTTCTTTCAAAAGTCTACGTTTGATGGACTTTGGCCTCAATTTTATATAGCTATAGTGGCTTACCACTTTCTCCAGAGAATTTCACTTCCTATGAACTCTTCTAAACTTTAGTTAACGAAACTATTTTACAATGTTAAAAGTAAGGTAAAATGGATAAACAGATTATCTAATATAATTTGTATGACTAAAATAAGAGGCATAGTTGAAAATTAAAATCAGACTACTGAAAATGGGACATTTCCGTTCCCGTCTCCACATTCTCCTGTCGACGTCGTCTCACCTGCCTCCCGGCGCCCCCTGCTGGGGAAGCTGCTCACACACTGAGGGTCGCTGCAGGAGACGTACACCCCGAGCTTGGAGGGGCAGCCCTTGGACAGGTAGATCTCTCCCGTCGTCTCGTTCAGGCGGGTCCAAGCAATCTCTTCAGGTATCACTGTGGGGCTGAGAGCCGTCAATCTGTACGTGTCCTCGCCGACTCTAGAGGGAGAAAAGTGTGCTTAGTTATTAAAGCTTCGAGCCTGCTTTACTCTTGGCGTGACTAGATTAAGGAAACTAATTTTAACCTCAAGGAATCAAAATAGTCAAATTACAGTGGTGGGGTAATCGTGTTTCAAATAATGAAACAATTATCACTGCTCTTAAAGGGACAACGGTAATTATGTTTCTTATTTCTTGTTATTTATTGCTGCTCTAAAGAAAAGTCTGCATTAAACCCTTATACAAACTATTAGGATTATTTAATTTCTCACCCAAATAAAAATTGAAATCTACCACCTGCCCTTACCAAGATGCGGAGTAATATTAGCTCCATTAAGGTGTAAATCTATACCTATAACTGCAAATAGCTACATGTAATCAGACTTTATACAGCGTTATATATTATATGTATATTACATTATATATATATTATATATTAAAAGTTATATAAAAATTTGCTTGCACATGGAATTCAAAACCGAAGTTAGCCATTGTATATACATTTTCTATTTTAAAATTAATAAAGAAAACGGTTTTGGAGTAACTGAAGCAAGAGGCTTATTTTTTCCGTGCTATATATTATCAGACACATTAAACCTGCAAGACGTATTGAGGTGTCAAAAGGACGATGCTGTCAAAGCGGGAATCCATCCAGTTACTGGCCAAACCCAATGGGGCTCCTATCCAAAAGTATACCATGAAGATTTTATCATTGGGAACAAAATATATCCAAGGCCCCTATAAAGTTTGATTTTGTTTGCAGACACAGCTCTTACCTCTCGCCGACGAGCTCTTCACAGAGGCTTCTCACTACCGCCGTCAGGTTCTGCTTAAGACTACCGCAGAAGGGCAGCCACTGCCCGCCTCTTTTCACCTGCAGGTACCCTTCCTTACGGAGGCTCGGCGTCACCTGCAGGGTACAACATACTGGGGTACTTTTTCCAACAAACAATTACCTATCATAGTTTCACTTCATTTCTATAAAACTTTAATAATTCACAATATCGCGCATGAAGTTTCATAATTAAATTCAGAACTTTGGCTTTGTTCTCTACTCTAAATCTGGACGCCTGGGTTCGATTTGCAAAGGGTAGTTACATTTCACCTAATGCCTATGTTAACTTAGCAGTCAAGAGGTACCCAGGAGTTTGGCAACTGCTGTGGGGTTGCATCCCTGAACACAGTCCGGTACTGAAGTTAACTAGGGGTTATATACACCAAGAAGCAGGGTACACCTCTGAATATATTTGGCAATTTGAAAGAGCATGTTTAGCCACCATTCTCTGGTCTTATCACCAAATTCTTAATGATTCTTTGAGCCAGAGTGCTCACTCACCGAGGGATCCACCTGCTGGAGGGAGAGTCTGCTGCAGAAGGCCTCATCCTGACCGTCGTCACAGCTGATGTGACCGTCACAGACTTCGGTGTTCTTGACACAGGAGGCCGTCTCGTTGGTGGTGCACCACAGCTGCCCCGACACGCAGCCTGCTGGGGCGAGGAGGGAGGGGAAGTATGGCAGATTAAAGTGCGAACTAATGTTCCCTGGGTGATGGGGGTTCTATAGATAAAAGTTTCAGGAAGGGAGGGGGGCCCCCCCCCCCAAGATAGTTCTTGTGACGGGTGGTAAAGAATGGTTAAAAAAGGTCACTCAAGCAGCACCTATTACCTCGATAAACTAATATAAATCAAAACACTATTTTACATTAGAAGCAACCCGATGTTAAGCAAATTCATTCCAATACAAACATTTTTCAGGACAACTCTGGAACAGTTTGTACACCTCCACATACTACATGCGCAAGGAAGCTGCACCCCCTTACCCCTGCCTGCAACACCAGTGCCACTGCCACTAGCACGTCACTAGTGCCATGACCGCAAGAACCTTAACGCACTTGCATCAAAGTATTCATCTGTTAATCCCCCCTCACCCACCAACCCGCCCATCGAAGTACAAACCCACCGAAGCATCCCAGCTCGTCGGTGAAGTCGGGACAGTCGACGATGCCATCACAGTGCCTCTCCTTCGCCACACGTGAGCGACACGGACACCCCCTCTCGTCAGAGGCATCCGGACAGTGAACTGATCCGTCGCATCTCTGTTGCTTCGTGTAGCACCACCGGCGGTCCTTGCACTGCTGGAGGCCGTCCCCGGAACAGCCTGCAGGAGGAGGAGGAGGAAAGACTTGCATGGAAGATCCGTTCATGGGAAAGATAAACAGTTGAGAACGGTTTGTGAAGATTATCAACTCGGTAAACACATCCTAGAGCAGTCCGTCCTCCTAAGGTTTCACAACGTCAAGGAAACTTAATTTAAAGTGTCCTCTCCTAACCTAACAGAGGACCCAAAACAAAACGGGAGAGTACGTCACTTTCGCCAGCCGCTTTCATTTTCTAGTACGACAATTTTTGGCCTTGAGTAACTCATACGAGCGAAAGGCGACGTTCCTGGTAGGAGAAGGTTGCCTAGAGTATCGTTATCAGCGTTGAATCAGTATTAAATTTGGATACTGTGCCCACTGGGGACTTGATAACGCTGGTTCCACTAAACGAAAATTAGGGGCGATTAATCATCACATTTCACGTCCGGAAAATATTAGTAAATACATATTAGCTTAGTATAGCCATGTCCAGTCAACTTCCTGAACACAATGTTAACGAACCAAATAAATTCCCGGAAGCGTTGCTAACCACGTCACTATTAACGCCCCACAACTGCGGTAGCTGCAGGCATCTTACCCACACACTTGGCCCCGGGGCCCACACTCTCTACCACATACCAAGAATTTGGTAAAAATAAAGGGAACAAAATGGGTTTAGAGCCAATTATGTAATGAACCTTTTTCCACCAGCGCTCATAGGAGGAATATTAGGGTTGAGATTTTTTTTTCATAAAGATCCAAGTTCAGCCTTCAAAGGGTGCCTGGAAACTATTTGATTCATACACCAAACTATGTGCAGTACACACAGCCTGGTTGACCAGACTGGCAAGCAGAATTCGGGCCGCGGGAACAATAAACCAAATCAAGATTAGCTGAAGATAAAGGAAGAACACCGAGCAAAACTAACAACCCAACAAGCAAAATAAATTAAACGGGCTAAGACTAGTTTGATAGATTACATATAATTTTACAATATAACTAGCCAATCAAGGCTGCAACTTACTCTGCTAAGCGAATTTTGGGATTAGATACACGAGCCCATTCTGCCACTAACCGTTTCCAGTATAATTCTCACGGTGGCTATCGAGGAGTTCAGAGCACCGCTCCTGTACTAGGTAAGTCCACTACGGGCTCACCATAGCCCATGCTACTTGGAAACTTGTTCCGTGTAGCTGAATCTATAACAATCGAGGAGTTTAATCAATGAACTATAAACTGAACAGGCAACAGACTAACACCCTGGGAGGGTAGAAATAGCCTAAGCTACTCTCTCCCTCTAAGAAACATTTTATTGTCTGAATAAACGTCCTTTTAACTCTAGCAACCTTATCTAGGATGCGGCAAATAGGAAACTGGCCCTTTTGCTTTTAATGTGGCAGTTTTTTATAGCATATTAATTCACGAAACGTGCAAGGTCACATGCATCTCCCCAATCCAATCCGTCAGCCCAAGATATTAAAGTCAAATACTGGACTTGTGTAGGCTTTAATAAACAGTCATTTGACTTGTTTGTTCTCAGCACATGGTCCTTTGTTTTGATAATGTGCCAAAGTTTTCGCTACATTGTTCCAACCCAATTGTAGTTAAGTTCACACATCGTAGCTCAGGCACCTTAAAACATGTACTGAGGTAGAAACTACTTTCTCCGCGTTCATTAAAGGAATCAATGGCGTATTCTCTCTGTAGTAATATCAACTATCTGCACCTAAAGCACTATATACGCCAAAATTTATTCACGGCCTTCTGACCGATATTGAATATTTACTGAGCATTTCTTTGTAAAAAATAGTTTTTTGCAATACTTAGATTAAATTTCTCAGCTGGTGGGGGTAGGGGGGGGAAGTGAGGAGGGAGGGTTGGAGTGAGGGATGAGGGGGAGATAGGAGGGGGACAGAGGAGGAGGAGGAGGGGTGGGGGTGGGGGGTGGAGGTGTAGGGTTGTCAAGATCACCAGCCAAGAGGCCACTAACAACTACTCTGGCCAAGGAACAATATACACTCACCTTGAAACTCTGGGATCTTCTGAGTTAAGTCCGTCCCCTCACTCTTGACCCTATCCAAGAGTTCCCTGGCCTTACCAAGGCTCGGCGAGTCGTCTGCTTGGGTCGCCACCGTCCCCGAGCCCTCCAGGCATCCTCCCGGTCCTCCCAACACCAGACACCCCGCCACCAACATAGGAAAAGCCCACCAAAGCGAAAATTTTCGGCCCATGTCGATAATTATATTTTTGACGAGGTTCTCACAACAGGCGTCACGAAAATCTTCATAAAAAAAATCAACTCCAGGAGAGACCAACAATATAGCGTCCCAGGGCCGCCACGCAACTAAACGCCTAACTAGTGGAGGACGATCGTCGGGGACGTTTCATTGAGATTGTGGACCCCAAACTGTCTCGAATGCACGATTTCGAAACATCGTGAGGAATCGAGATTTCGCATTCAACCATCAAAACAGAAGTGCATCGGAGCATGGATTCACGATGTGTGAATACAAACTATCGCTTTCCATCCTCAGAGTAGTGACCAATTGTTGGAGCAACTATCTCCCGATGGTTATGGGTAAAAAATATCACTTTACATATGGCTTGTAACTGATTGCAATCATCATTATCTTGAACAGTGCTTCGGTGACTTTTTATGTTCGGAACGCATCTCTCTAAATGCTTCACCCACGTACTGTAAATACAAATAATTGCCAACTGAACCACACCGTCTATCATAACTCAGCCCGTCCTCCAAACAAAGACCTAAAAGTGATTCCATCCACCCGCCAAACCCCAGCTGTTTATGAATGAAAAACGGTTTACACACGACTCACAACTGTTGACGTTCGAACATTTCCGGAACAAATGCTTCACTGACGACTTTTCTTCGAACCACAACGCTGTAAATGCTTCACCCACGTACTACAAATACAAATAATCGCCAATAAAACCTAAACACCTAACCTATGCCTATATATATATATATATGCACAATATGCTAATATATTATAATATTAATTTATGATTGAAAAAATTCCTGTTTTGAATGAACAGCATGTTGAAATTTATGAATGCGTCTGTGGGGTCGACCGCTAGATGGAATGGACTTGAGTCGAGGACGGGTTGCATTCCTTGCCTATGACTCGAGATGTGGCTCATTCAGGTCCAGCTTACACAGTAACCATGACAACCAACCTCACCTGCATCTACCTGCACTTGCAACATATAACAACCTTAATTTTTGCTTTGGAAAATACTAGTTGCTCTTTGGACACTTAAGAGATGAACATCATGTTCATTATGTCTTTAATATTATGTCTTATGGAATTATTATTTATTAAGTGCCCGGGATGTTCTCGTAATTAGCGTTCTTCAAGATTCATTATATATATATATATATATATATATATATATATATATATATATATATATATATATATATATATATATATATATAAAGGGTACCACCTCTGGTGCAATTGTAGGGACCCATAGCCTCGGAGAAGGGAATATAGAGCATTAAGAGAAAAACTTACCATTCAACTCTAAACACGTTTGAGTGTTCACTTCTCCTACCACCCATTTCTTTTATTATTTATGTTGTACACTTTATTATACAAGGTTACACAATTACATATATGATTGGTTATAAAAAGTGGACATTAAGAGGAAATAAAGGGAAGTTTGTTTTCTAGAGGCTGTAGATTTCTTCGAACCTCTCCGACGCCGGGCAGGAACCGAGGACGCAGCTGGCATTCCCCCTCTGGATCGCGACACTGAGGCGCTGGAAGAGAACACTTGCCACTCTAGAGTCTCTCTTGTAGTTTCAATGAGCCTGGAATATGGACCCTTAAGAAACTTGTCTGCACTCTCTCTCCAAAGAACAAGGGTCTTAAGATCCTATTGTAACGAAGTTGTACCGGTGATCTGTTTCCTGTACTTGGTTGACTTGTCTCTTTCTCTGTGTGTCGCCGCGGCTCCTGCTTGGTTGGCCGACTGAGCAACACGTCCTCTTGCAAATTACGTCGCTTTTCACTCGTATGCGCACTCGGGCTAAGAAAGGACGTAATTTAAAATGGAATCGGCTCCCGAAAGTGACGTACTCTCCCGTTTTCTGTTTTGGGTCGTCTGGCTTAGGCTGTTAGGAGAGGAAACTTTCAATAAAGCTTAGGAGAACTTCCTGCCCACCTGACAACCAGAGGACCTTAAATTGCTGTTTTGGGAAAAAATAAATAAAAAATTTAATTGGAAAATATATTTCCATTTTGAATTACGTCGATATTTGGCCGTAGCGCATACTAGCGAAAAGCGACGTAATTTGCAAGAGGGCGGGTTATCAACACAGGCATTAGGGAGGAGTGGTGAATGGGTAAAATAACTGAGATGTGATAGGAAGGACGCGGTTTCTTTCTCGAACCAAACAATGACTTAAGTTGTCTGTGATAATTTTCTCTTTGTGCCTTTTGAACCCCAATATTGGCTTGGTTTTGGGCTTAAGGCTTATTACCCTCTGGTGTCCTGCAGGGCTATTCAGTCCACCACAATTACTGACTGACCTATCATCAAATATACTTTAGTCCTGAACATAGTCTAGGACTAAAGTCCACTCTCAAGTGTATATATATATACAGAGTAGCCGGAAGCACGTCTCAGTGGATATATCCCTTGTATGGTTTGGTGTTGTATTTAAAGCCTAATACCCTCTGCAGGGTTATTAATAAGGCCACTATAATGGCTTACTGCTCAACCATCAAATATACTTTGTCATGAGCATAGGTGAGTCTAGAATACTATCAAGTTATATACATCAAGAAGAGGAATATACTTCTTTAAGTATATTTCGTATTATAATAATAATAATCTCAATTGTATTTCCATCAACTGAGAACCATCACTTGTCTTAAATTAAAATGCTAATTTTGACCAAAAGCAAATGCTTACTGGGAGAAAATAAAACAAAGTCACTAAACAAGTTTTCTGACATTCAGTGATAGTTTTTTTCAGTACAAGTCATTGTAAAAATTTGATGTTTTTAACCTGTTTTTATGTCTGAGAGCAGAATTAGCCCTTTTATTCCCTTTTTTATGTGTATGTCTCACTCACTTATTTCCAATTGCCAATGTCTAGGGGTAACAAAGGAAAAAAAACAAATACTATATTAGATATGTATATATTTATATATTTATATATAGATATAATTCAAATTTTAGTGTTTCTGTATTTTTGGTAAATAAAATATTTGATGTGCATATTAAATAACATCGATATACAAGAGAGGATGCCTTAATGCAAAGTTAGTGTATTATACAGGCAGAGCCCCGACATACACTAAGTATAATTCATAATAATAATATAGTATATTCATACACTTTCAGCATACAACAGGCATAATATAATAATATAACCCTCACTTCTCCCTCCCCTTTCCCCCCCCCCCAGACATACACAAGGTATATATACTATACCCATACACTTATTGGGCGTATACCAGGCATAATAAGCTAATACAACATACACCCCTCCCCCTCTTCAACATACACCAAGTATAGTGTATTCACATACTCCCTAGGGGACTTTATTCACTGGGAGACATTCATCACCTGACTCATTGCCACCAAATTCCAGCTTAACTCACTTCCTGTCTAAATCCATGTAATGGTTTTGTTCCAGGTAGCCTAAGTTCCAGGTAGCCTAAGTTCCAGGTAGTTGCACAGATAAGATCCAGAGAACTTGATAAGTCATTTAAAGTTCGAGTTCTAATTTAAGCTCCAGGTATTTGGTAAGTTTTATTTAGGGCTAATTCCAGGTAAGACTTCTGGGTTTAACTCATACCTGACTGCCCTAGTGAACTAAAAATGTGGTGGACCTTAAGTACACCCGATAGTTTTAAGAGTCTACAGGCAGTCACAAGGCCAACCAGAGCTTGTAGTGCACCTGTAGTCTCTATTGCTCTTTTCCAATGATAAATGAAGCGTTCTTCAGCAAAAGGACGTCAATGAAAATAGTCCGAAAAATACTATTTTCAGGAGAACCTTATTACTATACATTTTTTTTAGTCAAAGGTTTTATTGAATTGAATAAACTTCTGAACGGAGAAGAGAGAGAAAAATTTTCCAGGGCAGAAACTAGATTTCAGCCATTCCAGGAACGAGAGAGTTCGCGGAACATTGAAAAACGTTAGTTTCTCTCTTGCTTCTTTCTGCTCCAGGAAATCGTGACCTGGACCCCTACTCACTTTCCCTGGAAGTACATTTGGGAGAGCAGAATTCGCAGGAAGTGTTTAGCCTCTTGCTTGTTTTTCTGGAAACCAGTAGAGATAAGGTAATGTATCTTGTTTTGCTCTCGTCCTGGGCACGATAGTTCTATGCCATATCTTATAACTAATCATGGTCATCATATCGCTTCTCTTCCTTTTAGTTCATCTCTTAGTTCATCAATCCTTTCCTTTTTTTCGAAATTCTGTTCTCCGTTTCGAGTTGAAAATAAGCTGTCGCTGTTGGGATATTTAGCTGCAGTGTGAATCGTGTGATCCCTATAAGGGCCGATCCTGGGATGATCCAGAGGTTTCGTTCCTGTTTAGGCCGGCGAGGGCACTCGAACTGCTGGTACCTGGACGCCAGGAAGGAGGGTGCTGAGGTCATGTCCTGGTGGGAAGCTGGATAAAGGTACCGCCTTGCAGGTTATCTGACATCGACCTTGTTAACCGAGTTATCATCGCCGGGTCGTTTAGTTATCATCGCCGGGCCGTTTCGTTATCATCGCTGGGTCGTTTAGTTATCATCGCCGGGTCGTTTAGTTATCATCGCCGGGTCGTTTAGTTATCTAGAGGCCATTAGAGACTATGAATTTGTATATTTACCAGAGGACCTCCACGTCTCTCCCTGTCTCTCTCTCTCGACGGGGACAGGAAGCCGGTGGCTTGCCAAAGGTACATCCATTTTTCCCCTAATGATTTTTTTCCAGTTGGTTGTATATAAACACGTGTGTTGGGTGAGACAATATCTCTCTTTTGGTTTGGTCTGTTTTTGTCCTCACTTAGTTATTATTAGTGAACATTGCAGCCTATCTAACTGTGCAATGTTTCCCAGGTAGATACTGTTCAATGTCGGAATAACATAACAGGCGTGGGTTCGATGGATTGTTTCAAGCGTAGACTAGACATATAGATGCATGAGTTTAGGTGAGAATAAGTAGCAGCTGTGTAGTATAAGCCAACAGGCCTTCTGCAGCTTGCAGGCGATGAGTAACAATAACGTGGCTGAAGTATGTTGACCAGGCCACACACTAGAAGTTGAAGGGACGACGACGTTTCGGTCCGTCCTGGACCATTCTCAAGTCGATTGTCGACTTGAGAAGTCGACAATCTTCTGCAGCTTATTGTTTCTTGTGTTCTTATACCTGTACCAGCCAGAAAAGACTATATAGGGATAGTGTAGCTGATATTATCTCTAGATATAGCCTTTTTCCCTTCAGATATACTCATAACAATCTCAAGTGTCAATAACCTGTGCCCGAGGGAGGGTGTGATAGTGTATATCAAGTGGGGATCAGCACCCCAGCAAGGGGCCAGGGGGGCTAGATTCACGAAAGTACTTACGCAAGCATTTACGAACGTGTACATCTTTCCTCAATCTTTGACGGCTTTGTTTACATTTATTAAACAGTTTACAAGCATGAAAATTTCCCAATCAACTGTTGTTATTGTTATAAACAGCCTCCTGGTGCTTCGCAGCTCATTAACTGTTTAATAACAGTAAACAAAACCGCCAAAGATTGAGAAAAGATGTACAGGTTCGTAAGTGCTTGCATAAGTGCTTTCGTGAATCTGGCCCCTGGAGTCAGGAGAGCGAGAGTACATGATTATAACGCTACCGCAGCTGACAAAGATACCTTACACAAGTGCGAATGATTAGGATGATTCAGGTCTGCTCGTAGTTTTGATGAGTGTCTTAATTCTAACGCGTACAAAGGGCTTTAACGAGAGGCTCAGCCTCAAACAGTCCAACACATAACCTGTATGCGGCCCCCCCCCCTGGTCTCCAACCAGTCTACCTAGCGAGTCGCCCACACTGTGGCCTGCGGGAGACGCCATATCAAACGCCTACTGACTGACTGACTGACTGACTGACGGTCCCCGGCACACCGACGCCACAAGAGAAGCTAGCAGCTGTGACACAAGCAATATCTTAGGTAGCCGAGGAAGAGCTGAGGTGGTCACTCCTCCGGGTAGAGTCTCACTTTGTGCAGCTTGAAGGTGGTGCTGAGGAGGAGGGGACTGGACTTGCGAAGAGGCCTGAGGAAGCCACAAGGATAATAGTCAGTTATACGAAATGGGGTGTGGGCAAATCATAGGGGGGTGTGGTCGCATCGTACACTGAACGATTAAACAAAGTTCGTTCGTGTTCACTTTGGTTTAGATCGTATATTTGTCTAGTCTAGGATGTGGCAGCTTATGTTATGTTTGGTCTGGGACACATGTAACGTATTGTATTTTCTGATTATTTTATTGTATTTTGGTACATATATATGAGTGTATGTTGGTTTGAATGTATATGTATGTATGAATAATTGTATGTTTGTTTACGTGACTGTTACATGTATAACGAAAAAATAGTAATATGAATGTATTCATGTTTTAGTAATACTAATAATAATAATAATAATAATTATTATTATTATTATTATTATTATTATTATTATTATTATTATTATTATTATTATTATTATTATTATTATTATTATATAGAGAGAGTAATCACACTAACGTGATGAGTCAATGAGAAACTCCGTAGGTGCCGTGATGAGGGTTCGAACTTGTGTGGTGGGTGTTCCCAAGCACACGCCCTAGTCAACTAGACCACGACATGGTCAAAAAGATTGCAACCTGGATGTTGCAATTCCTGGATGACAGAGCCAGAGTGCATGGGGAGGAGGAGGGATTGTGTGAAAATCCTGGTTCGGCTTCAGTGGAAGCCTCAGAAAACCCTCGTGGGTTCAGTAGAGCTCCAAGTTACAATACATGTCGTGGCCTGGTTGACTAGGGCGTGTGCCTGGGGACACCCACCGAACAGGTTCGAACCCTCATCACTGCTGCTACGGATTTTCTCATTATTATAATTCATAATAGTAAAATTATATAAAAATACATCCTACATTAAGAAATATAATTATTATAAAAAAAATTAATTATTAACATAGTCTCGACCAGTAATAGTGTCGTTAACCAAGGTACTTGTTAATGCTAGCATGGTGTGGTGTACAGGGTGCCAGTCTGGAGGCTCCCCCCCCCCCTCCCTGGCACTGGTGACCCCAGAGGTCAACAGTTCTGGCACTCTTGTTACTCTGACCCGGTGGCTTACGCCCCTATGTAGGCGACGAGTCACAATAACGTGGCTAAAGTATGTTGACCAGACCACACACTTGAAGGTGAAGGGACGACGACGTTTCGGTCCGTCCTGGACCATTCTCAAGTCCATTGACAATCGACTAGAGAATGGTCCAGGACGGACCGAAACGTCGTCGTCCCTTCACCTTGTAGTGTGTGGTCTGGTCAACATTACGCCCCTATAGTGCCATATACACCTAGAGAGGTTTGAAGGATGAAATTGTTGCAGCTCCTGGGCAACGCCTCTTAGTTATCGGTAGTAAAGGTGGTTCTTTATTCTGTTGTAATTTATCATTAATTTGTGTAACTGTTTATAAAGTTGGGGTCCACTTAACAACCCCTCCCCCCCCCATCCCCTATCCTTGGACTGGGACATAATGCTTACATAAATACACATTAATATGCAGAAAACCCACATGTGAAAAATATAGAATGGTTAACGCGTTTCCGGCTAATTCGCCTTCATCAGAGCAGAGAAGAAATGATTCTACTCTGCTCTGATGAAGGCGAATTAGCCGAAAACGCGTTAAGCATTCTCTATTTTTTTCACATGTGGTTTTTCTGCATACTTGGATCAGTGTTTTTGTGATCATTGTTGCACATATTCATATACGTAAATAGATATAGTAAGGTACTGACTTGATAATTCTGGCCATCTTGTGATACCAGGTGGTGGTGTCTGGAGAGAGTGTGAGGTGGAGCTGGAAGGTGTTGGGCATGGTGGGGTCGAGTACCACTCGAGCAAGACCACACCTCTGCTGGCCGTCGTCGTAGTGCACATGCAACACCCCCCCTCTGTTGGGGGAGAGTGGGGCAGTGAGTAGGGGGAATGATCCCACCTCTGAGGCAATCATTCACAAATTCAAGATTGACATTTTATTTGTACATACTGTCATGATGGTTAAACAAATCGGATTGTCTTTTGTTTCATCCATTACTTAACATATATCAACGTGAATGTAATGGGCAATAGGAGTAGGGTGAGGGAGATAGGAACTTGAGGACCCTTTGTCTCCTGAATCTATTCTCAGCCTATCCAAAGCTGCTAAGGCTTCGCCCACCAGCGATAGATTGAAGAGCTGTACCGCTATCACACCAAGACCGGCTGCTCGTTTGATGGGGGGGGGGGATAGTACAGCAAGCCGCTTGCAATTAGCCACTTAGGACAGTGGCCAGGTCACCTACAAGGCCTTGCTTGACCTCTGGGTCACGAGCAACGTTGACACTAAGGTGTGAGCAGTCTATTATTGAGACTGCAGTCAACTTGGCATCTGCCATTTCCTGTGTGACTTGACTCCATTCTTATTAGTGAATTACTAAATAAAACCATTTCTGTTACACCTCTACCCCCTCGCCCACCCACACCCACACTCTCGCCCACCCATACCCACACCCACACTCTCACCTACACCCACACCCACAGCCACACTCAGTCTTACCTTAGCCCACAAGGCTCGGAGTCAGCAAGCCGCAGGACCTGGGCTGTGACCTGGTCTGTGAGGGCTTGAGGTACCACGACTTCTCCACAGCCCAGGGCGTCAGCCCGACTCCTGACCTCCTCCGTCAGCTGCTCCACCAGGCTGACCCGCGCTGCTGCCTCTCCCTCCACCTCAAACGCCTCCATATCTGTTAACAGGAAGAAGAACAACGTGTACCGTTAACAGATTGAAGGACAAGATGTAGCGTTAACAGGTTGAAGAACACTATGGTCCATTAAGAAGTAGAACAATATGGACCGTGAAGAAGTAGAAGAACAACTTGTATAGCATGAAGGTGAACAGCATTATACGTTTAACAGGAAGAACAATATGTTCCGTTAACAGGGGGAACAAACCATCTTGTCATTAATACAGGGACACAGAACAATATCACATGAGAGACTGGAGAACATTAAATGTTCTCCACTAATAAATAAATAAATAAAGTTATTTATTACTAAGAAGGGATATCCGGCAGCTCCCAGGTCTCTCTCTCTCTCCCTCTCTCTCTCTCTCTCTCTCTCTCTCTCTCTCTCTCTCTCTCTCTCTCTCTCTCTCTCTCTCTCTCTCTCTCTCTCTCTCTCTCTCTCTCTCTCTCTCTCTCTCTCTCTCTCTCTCTCTCTCTCTCTCTCTCTCTCTCTCTCTCTCTCTCTCTCTCTCCCTCTCTCTCTCTCCCCCTAACCAATAGCCCCCCTTTCTTATATCTTTCCCTACCCCCTCCCTATCTCCTCCCATCACCCTCTTCTCTAACTTTCTCGCCTCTCACCCTTCGCCTGTCTTCTTCACCCTCTCTTTTCCTCTATTCCACTCTACCCTTTTTCCCATTCTCTTCAACTTTCTATCCTCCCCCCCTCTCATATTTCTCCTCTCTCACTTGTCTCCTCCTCCTCATCTCTTCCTCTTTCTCTCTCATCAAATAACCCCTTCTCCTTCCTCCTCTCCTTATCTCTGTCTGTCTCTGTTTTATGTTGATCTTCCTGTCTGTCTCTTCACCCTGGTCGACTGTCTCTGTAGGGCTATCTGTCTGTTTGCTCTCTCTCTGTTTGTGTGTCTCTTTCTCTTTCTGTCTGTCTGTCGCTGACTGTCTGTCTCTGATTTATAATCTGTCTCTGTTTCTCTTATAACAAATATAAAAGTCTACCATTGGCGTATGAAAGGAACTTAATGGTGTGAAATATTAAAACATATAATAGTTACCCATTTGCTTTAAGAAAGCGGCGGGGGTCTAAGAACTCCTTTGAAGCTATGGGGAGATTGTTTTATGATACTACAACCAAAATATGAATAGCAGAAAATGTCCTTTTTTAGACATTTTTGTTTTTAGAATATTTATCAAAGGTGTATCCAGCAGGCAGTGTTAAAAAAATCACCATTGGGGTCAGAATGAGATCTTTGGTATGCTGTTCCCCCCTCTTGAATTCAGGCGACCTAGTCCATGAACAGGTGTATAAGGGGAAGAGATGCCGGATGTTCAAACACATGTGTTTGAACTATATCTATATCAAGCTATATATGTACTATATCAAGCACATGCGCATGACCTACTAACGCCAGGGATAGACAAGATCCAGTTAACAGAGGGATGGTTATAGCACCCCTAACCCCTAAGGGCTAAAAATATAACAAATGAGGGAGGGAGAGACAGAGCTATCAGGAGAGATAGATATAGATACAGAGCTATCAGGAATGATAGATATAGATACAGAGTGAAAGCCCCTAGCTGACGTCACACACACCACACACGTAGCAAGGGATCCACTGTAAGGGAGACTAATTTTTAGGAAATTGCGTCACTGGTATTTCTGGATGGCGTGGCTCCCTGTCTTAGAAAACATGTACTCAGCCCTCCATGTGTGTCCTCAGCCCTCCATGTGTGTCCTCAGCCCTCCATGTGTGTCCTCAGCCCTCCATGTGTGTCCTCAGCTCTCCATGTGTGTCCTCAGCCCTCCATGTGTGTCCTCAGCCCTCCATGTGTGTCCTCAGCCCTCCGTGTGTGTCCTCAGCCCTCCATGTGTGTCCTCAGCCCTCCATGTGTGTCCTCAGTCCTCCATGTGTGTCCTCAGCCCTCCATGTGTGTCCTCAGCCCTCCATGTATGTCCTCAGCCCTCCATGTGTGTCCTCAGCCCTCCATGTGTGTCCTCAGCCCTCCATATATGACCTCAGCCCTCCATGTATGTCCTCAGACCTCCCTGTATAGCTTTCTGGAGCCGAGGAAGAAGAGCGGATCTGAAGACTTCACTACACAAAACATTGAAGGTTCTCTGAGACTTCCCACCTGTGAGACACGAAGCCGGAGCTGTATTGACCAGTCCAAGTGGCTGGACAAGCTGTATTGACCAGTCCAAGTGGCTGGACAAGCTGTATTGACCAGTCCAAGTGGCTGGGCAAGCTGTATTGACCAGTCCAAGTGGCTGGACAAGCTGTATTGGCCAGTCCAAGTGGCTGGACAAGCTGTAAAGTCCAGTCCAAGTGGCTGGACAAGCTGTATTGACCAGTCCAAGTGGCTGGACAAACTGTAAAGACCAGTCCAAGTGGCTGGACAAGCTGTACTGACCAATCCAGGAGACTGGACAAGCTGTATTGACCAGTCCAAGTGGCTGGACAAGCTGTATTGACCAGTCCAAGTGGCTGGACAGAACACCTTGCTAGAAGTTATTGCACCAAATTAGTCGTGTGGTAGAAGCTGCTAACCTATTATAGAACTATGCTACAATTTATAAGTCCCCCCCCAACCAACATAGCTATCGTCACTATTGGTACAACCCTCGACACAACCTATACCCACCACTACCCTTTACCACTACCACACCCCCCCCTTATCACCACAACCCCTTCCCCCCTTATCATCACCACCAGTGCTTCCACCTCCACACCCACTACCATTCAACAAACATGACCACCACCACCACCACAACCCCCCCTTTTCCACCACCACCCTCTCAACACCAACACTACCCCCCTATTACACCCCACCAACACTACCACACTAAGAAACAGCCAAAGAACTGACACAAATCACACCTACACTATTCTTTGTGTGACTGGTGGTTCCTAGGGCGGGCCCCACTGCCTCGCCTGATCAAGGCAATCTGGTGTTAGGATGTGTGGTTGTTGTGGTAGATTCACTACCTGGAACAAAAAGTTCCAAGTAGCACGGGCTATGGTGAGCCCGTGTGGTGTTAGGAGCTGTGATGTATGGGGGGGAGGTTGAGGGAGAGGGGGGGATGTGGGAGAGGAGGATATGGGAAGGGGGGATGTGGGAAGGGGGATTATAATACATGTACTCTTCCCCAGATGTCAGCTACAGGACTCCATGTATGTGGTACCCCAGCAAGTACCGAGGAGGAAGGTGGCGCCAGGCGGGCCCTGGGCGAGGACGGGTCGGTCGTTGACTTACGTGCTCGGTGAAAGGGGTTTGATACACACATTATCACATCGTCTCTTGTTTTGAGCGAGTGTGTGTGTGTGTGTGTGTGTGTGTGTGTGTGTGTGTGTGTGTGTGTGTGTTCACCTAGTTGTGCTTGCGGGGGTTGAGCTCTGGCTCTTTGGTCCCGCCTCTCAACTGTCAATCAACTGGTGTACAGATTCCTGAGCCTACTGGGCTCTATCATATCTACACTTGAAACTGTGTATGGAGTCAGCCTCCACCACATCACTACCTAATGTATTCACCTAGTTGTGTTTTGCTTTGCTCTTTCGGCCCGCCTCTCAACTGTCAATCAAATTTTTATTAACTACTTTTTTTCACACCACACACACCCCAGGAAGCAGCCTGTGACAGCTGACTAACTCCTAGGTACCTATTTACTGCTAGGTAACAGGGGCATAGGGTGAAAGAAACTCTGTCCATCGTTTCTCGCCGGCGCCTGGGATCGAACCCGGGACCACAGGATCACGTGTGCAGCGTGCTGTCCGCTCGGCCACCAGCTCCAGATAAATACAGTGAGTGTATATGTGTGTACTCACCTAATTACCTAATTACGTCCTTTGACGTGTGTGTGTGTGTGTGTGTTTTTGTTACCAATCAAATTTATACATATACATGCGACCAGCAAGACTGAAATAACAATATACACACAGAAATCCCAATAGCATGATATATCATATGAATAAATCCACAAGGGCCGTGATTTATTCATTGAAATGACAATTTATTGAGTGTTTACTCAAACTGCTACAAATAACTTTTTTTTTTCTAGAGGAGAGTGAAATTCACAACAAAAATACTGGCAAATGCAAAGACAATTTCTATGATCGCTTGCGCGAGCAAGCAAACCATTGCATAACTAACTACACCGCAGATACTGTAGTTATGTTGCCTAATGTGAGTTCTAAATGTCCTTACTCTTCTACCCAGCATAAAAACCTGTTTCCAATTTATCTAGACTTGAGAACATTCACACTAAGGGATTACTGACATGTATTCCTGATGAGGATTTAAACAGAGAAACCTCTTGAGGCAACATATCAAAGAGGCTGTTCAAAGGACGTAATATGCTCCTTCAAGGTTAGATCTCATCTTGAGCCAGAATGAGGCAGATGTAGTGAGGATACACCACCAGAGGGAGACACCAGAAGGTGGCCGTGGCCATTGCGTGTTTACAACTGAGTGCACAGCCTAGTTAAAAAGCCTAGCGGGGAAGAGTAGTTTTGTGTGTATTCACCTGCTACACATGCACCTATTTTACACACACACACCCATGTGTGACATGTGTGGTTATACCCTTGGTGACACATGTGTGGTTCACTTGTGTGCCTGGGCTCCAAACGTGACCAATAATTGTACTTAAAATTAATATTTTGCCCCGAGGGGTGAGTTTACTGGGCAGCGCCACTCATCCTGTGAGTGGACACACCGCCATAGTGACAGTATTGGGCAGCGCCACTCATCCTGTGAGTGGACACACCGCCATAGTGACAGTATTGGGCAGCGCCACTCGTCCTGTGAGTGGACACACCGCCATAGTGACAGTACTGGGCAGCGCCACTCATCCTGTGAGTGGACACACCGCCATAGTGACATTATTGGGCGGCGTCACTCATCCTGTGAGTGGACACACTGCCATAGTGACAGTATTGGGCAGCGTCACTCGTCCTGTGAGTGGACACACCCCCATAGTGACAGTATTGGGCAGCGCCACTCATCCT